GAGCCCGCCCAAAGTCCCATACAAAGCCATTGCACTTGCCACAGTCCTCTTCTTAATCGGCTCTCTGTTAATCATCATCGGCTCCCTTCTCCTGGCGGGATATTTTGGAGTCACTGTGAGTATTGTATAAGTCACAGAGTTATTTTTACAGTGTGAGGAATAAACTGACCTCTTATTCAAATGATTTTTCTCTCCTTCAGCACTCAGACCGAACTGTGCCTGTCCTTATCATTGGGATACTTGTCTTCCTGCCTGGGATTTACCACCTACGAATAGCTTACTATGCATCAAGAGGCTACCGGGGCTACTCCTATGATGATATCCCAGACTTTGACGACTGATAGACCCCACAGCTTCATCCACAGTCTTCCTGTACTCGCATATACTCCTAATATTCTGCTTGTGCTAATTTAAGTGCACTGCTTATTGAAAGAAAATATGCTTGAATAGATTCTGTAAATTACTTGCATCTAAATCTGAATGATTTTGATGTTATTGTCATAGCTTTATACTCTGAGGTAGAGGATTCCAGCCTGCTGCTTGAAGTTAAAACAGAATCCGACATTGTTTGTATATTTGTTTTGCTAGCTTGATAAATTAAAAAAACTGTAATTTGACGATTTCGTTTTTTAATTGTTTTAATTTAGAACATCCATCCAAACTAAAGCTTTACACTGAGTTGTTATACAACATAAAGTTATTTAGCTTTTAGTACAGTATTAATAGAGCTTAACCAAATTGGCTACTTATGTACAAAAACAGGACTTTTCTTTAGTAGTCAGCTATTTTCATGCCAAATAAAATAGAATTGTATACAGTTGGTACATTTTTTGTGGTGATCTGTTTGATAATAGAGAAAACTCATAGAAACCTTTGCAATGTCTTGTAATTAATATATTCTTATGCCAATAAAGGTAAACATGCAAGGCCTTAATGAATAGGCTCAGTGAATGACCTGCATCATTTTGTAGCAGATAACAGATATTTAATAAAAGACTTTATTCGTTTTGTCCACAATATGACTAATACTGTATCACTCAGTTTGCTCTACCCTCTGGTTAGTTTTCCATTAACGTTAAGAGTTGTTCCTTCTTGGCGGATTTCACGTGATTAATGCCAATCCTTTGATCCACCATATGGTGCACCTGGCCTGTCAGAGAAAGCATTGTCAAACAGAAGGTACGCAGACATGTTAACCAGACGTAAAGACATTTTCTCTAATCGGCCATCAACTCATCAATTTCAACATAATTGGAAATTGTGCTGATGAAAGGCAAGGCTACCACCTCAATTTCCTTTGCAGGATAATGTCATATGTAAAACACATTGCCAGTAAAGGGCACACTTGTTTACACTAATGTAGGATGCTTGGCCACCAGCTGTTTTACTGCATATTTTCAAGGACAGTTGCTTGTGTTATTTTTGTTTCTTACTAACAAATGGGTCCAATCAATCATCCTCAAACCATTAAATACTTGGCAATAAATTCAGAAGAATTAAACCTTCAGAAAGGCTGATAGCTGAATCTTTACAGGAAGCACTCACACTCAGGCTACATTTAATAAAATCACTTACAGAAGACAGAGATTTAGACAACAACCTACTATTCAATCCAATATCTTCCTGCATGTTATGCTATCTTATACTTTTGACTTTATGAGCTTATGCTTTACAGGAAGGCAGATAATGACATATGTTATAGTGAATGAATATTTTAATAATTTAACAGTATGCTCACAGAGAAGATCATATTAATTATTCATGTTTTTCTGTAGGACTAACTGCATTATTCCCGACAGTAGTGGGAAGTAACTAAGTACATTCTGGCCTTTGTGCAGAACTAGTACTTTTACTTCATGTACTTTTACTAAATGTTGTTGCTTATTCCTTTATTCTTGTAGTCATATTTTAAAATCAGGACTTTTACTTGTAATGGAGTCCTTTTAAACCCATAGTATTTGTACTTTTATTTAAGTAAAGGATCTGAGTGCTACTTCTCCAAACACTAATGCCAGTGTTTGATAATTTAAAAAAAAAGAGGTTGTCATTTAGCAGTATTACTGAAGGACAATATCACCCCCTTGTGGCGACACAGACTGACACATGATTGGTTATTTCAATTCAAACTAGGGTAAACAAGATACAACTGTAATGTGTGTCCCTTTTCATATACAGTTCCCCAGTGAGTGTCCCCCATTTAACCAACCGACTGCAAACCATAGACTGTATATATAAAGCTGCAAACCCGTCAGCCGTATGAGATTGAATCAACTATTATAAGTAACATTCCTCTCAATTTGCAGCAAGGTCAAAGACGTGGTTTTGAGGTAAGAAATGTTAAAACTTCATACTATTTTTTTTGTAATCCCTAAATGTATCACTCTGTTTAAACAAGGTTGACCGTTTTTTATAGGGTCTTTCCAATTGAACAAAAGTCTCTGACATGGCAAAGAAGTGAAAAGTAAAGTGTTTGACAGAAGTATCCTCCCTCAAGATTTAGCATATATTAGCCTAAATCAATATTAGGTATATAAACACCTCAGTTACCAAATATATCATAGCCAAATTACAAGCTGGGTTGCCTTTTTAGTAATAAATACACAATGAATATTGGTTTAATGAATATAAGGTTTATGAACCAAATATTAACCCGCTCTTGCTAGCTTGCGACTTTAGCTAACGGAAAGCTAACTAACTAGCTATAGCTGAGCTAACATTTTGAATGTCAGCCGTTTGTAAGCGCTGGTTAAAGGTAGGGTATGTACGTTTGAGAAACCGGCTCGAGATACACTTTTTGTTATATTCCATGGAATGCTCTTAACATCCCGATAGCAATGAATATATTAAGTGCTTTAACACAAAATCCATAAAAAAATGTCATCTGTGGAAGCCGTAGTACTGTAAAAAGCACGACCAATCATTTTAGCCGGCCCGGCTAAAATAACTGGATGGCCTACCTGCCTGTCAGCCTTCCATCTGTACACAAACAGCCGGTTTCTCAAACTTACATACCCTACCTTTAATTGCCATTCGGGTTTTTAGCAAAGGTGGAATAAGTACTCAGATCTTGTACTTAAGTATTCTAGGCATTCAGGTGTTTAGAATAACAATAATCAAATATTTTAGGAGACATAGATTGTATTCTTAAGAAGGGTTCATATTTCTCCACTTGACTTTCCATTAACTTACCATGTGAACTTACTTAGTTAATATAGTTTAAGCTGATAACCATAGTGGTATACAGTAACTAAGTTGGCCCTATATCTACCCAAATACTGTAAGTATAATTTTAACTTGGACTTTCCCAGTTCTCCACTACAACTCAGAGGCAGAGTACTTTTACTATCAATTTGATTCAGAGCTTACCAAGTAATCATCAAATGATGTATCATGCATTATAAGTCAATATAAACTTAATTGATCCCTTGAGAAGAAAAAAAGAAAAGCATTGGTGAATAAAATATATGCTTTTTCTTTACCAGCTGCACCATTAAAGTGATATACAATACATCAATAATTAAAATCCAATAATATAACATAATTATATTCAGAAGTGGGCCTATATTTTGATGCTAATAATGTTATACTTACTAAAAAAGATGTTTTAATGTATGACTCTTATTTTGAACAGAGTATTTCTACATTTTTTTCTACTTTTACTTAGGTTAACAATCCGAGTACTTTGTACAGTGAAAACTGAATATCGAAGAAAAAACAAAAATATATACAGTGAGCTAATCATTATATTGAATACCTTTACTAGTGCTTATGGGAACATTTTAAGGATTTGGTACCTTGTATTTGAAATGACATTTTCAATATATTAAACCCTCTTCTTATACATGTTGACACTGGAAGGTTCGATATATATCTCTTAACAACCATATGTCTTATTTACATTATGTTGGATGCTGTACCAAACAGTCCTGAGACATATGTGTGTCCTTTAGGTGTGCTTTTGCCTTTTGTTACGATCCCCAATTCTTTCCCATGAACAGGCGCTTTTGTCTGAGGCGCTTAAGCCCCAGCAGCAGCATCAAGCCACATGGAAACAGGTGGCAAACCAGCGGAAGTGATGTATTTTTTCTTCAACATAAAAGCGTTTTTGTTCAAACCATGAATTGTCAGCCTTTCCCACAGACTTATGCTTCGACAAACAATTTCCGTGCAACATTTCAAGAAATGTACAACAAAAAAATACAACGTTTTATTAAGTTTACATGTCTGGGTTTACCATTTTGTCATAATAATGATGGTTGTATCTGATCATGACATAGCACATTTGACTCTAAAATCTGAAGAGTATGAAATAGAAAACAAATTTAAATGTAATTCAATACTTTTTTTTATGGCATTAAGGCTATTCGGAATAATAGCAGGAAACACACATGGGTTACTAACAACATTTAAATGTCGCTCCATTCTATCTGTTTCTGTGGATTATCCCACAAAGCCATGTTGTCACTTTTACAGTATCAGGACCCCTAAACTGTAGCAGCTAAATAGAATTAGGCTAAATGGATGTTAGCATTTTAACACCTGTGACATCTTAATGTCTCCTAAAAAAACTTAAATGATTGATCTGCTGATTATTTTTGCAATGATCAATTACTTAAGAAGGTAATATCTTCAGGTAATATCAATTTAATTTCTTGATAAACAACCGCACATCTTACAATTGAGAAGCAAGAGAAAGGAAAAAATGCCATTTTCATAAATTACTGAAACTATTGGTGGATTACATAAACTGTTTGATAAAGGATGCTACTTGAACAATTGTTTTAGCACTAATTTACACATATTAACTGACCGCGTGTGCCCAACCCTGTTCGTCAGCGAGGGTTTTATTTTGAAAGGTTCAACAGGAAGTATAATCATTATATTGTGCTTGACTTGATGGTGGCCTCCAGCAGGAGGAGGGGACGATAGTAATGGGAGGAGAGACACGGGGAGAGTATCAACAGCAGGGCTCTAACTAAACGTGCACTGTGTGATCTCTTTCTAGTGAAACTTGCGCCTGTTTGATGATAAATGTACACTGCGTCGACCGAGGGACATTTCTACACATTTATTAAGTTAATCATAAACTCTCACTTATGATTAAAGGGACTTCCAGCAAGTTTGGACACAGACGATTGCGGACTTAACCAAGGCGTGGAAAGTTTAAATGGACTTTAAATGCGATGATGTCGTACTCATGAAGGTGGCATGGGTGTATGGATTTTATTGAAACCGCAAAGTATTTCCAAAGGAAGTCTGATAACATTGGATGCCGAGGATTAATGTTATTTTGTTTTGATCCACTGCTCGGACCGAGAACAACAATGTAACACCTGCTTTTTACCCAACACTCTCTTATTTTTATGGTAAAAGTTGTGTTTTTTTAAATCTGACTTCTCTCTGAAGAGGAATAAATGATCGTTGACATTTGGCCCGAAATACGAGTCTAAAAGAAGAGCATTAATGGATGAAAAGATTCTACTTTGAGCTTCAAGTGAAAAAGTGCCTCAAGCAAGGTAAGGAGCTGTGCATGCAGAGCTAAAGCATCCTCTATGCTGCTATATTTTACTATGGCATTAGTTTAATTTCCCTGCTAAATATACTCTAGTCATATTTAAAACACACTGCAGCCTCGCGCCTTTGTTTATGTTCCACATGCTCCACTTGTAATCTACGAATGAGTGTATCTGTTTATTAAAAACCAAAGTGAATACGTTTAACACTGCAATGACCCAAATGTGAACTATGTTCCCAGGATTACAATAATGAGAACAATAGTCAGTCAAAAATAGTGTTGTTTTTTGATTTTTATTCACGGCTCCCTCTAAGCTGTTATCAGACCCACTGAGGCAGACAAAAGATACACCTGTTTTTACAGGAGGTCTGTATATTGACATGGAGAACCGAGATTCTCAATTCACTGCAGGGGTGCAAAAATTAAGAGCTTGGGGCTTGCTGTCTGGGTTTTATTGCCCAGACAGTTACATTTCGCTGCTGCTCAACATGGTGCAATGTGCTGGGCAGAACCTAATTGTAGCTGTTTAGTACAGAAGAGTGCAGCGTCTTGGGCTTTTAACATAAAGGATACTCCCTTCTCTAGTGTTTCCCTTCCTTTGTTTTTGTTATGCTTGCTAATACTGGTTAGTTAGACGGAGAATTGAGGTGCACAGAGGCACACATCACTCTGGATGCCTGTAATTCCTTGTGTTGCTGGGACACATGACTGAATAGGGAGGGACATTGTTTATTTTTTATAAATACAAGCTTTCTACACTCTTAATCACCTTGTAGGTTGTCAAAGGTTTTAATCACCTTTAAAATAAAAATAAAACATCTATTGTAAATTATTGAGTACACCGTAGAATTATGTATACTTCCAATGTAATGGTTATGCCAGACACACAATTGTAGGTCTGTTTAGTGATTGCTATTGCATTATTTATAGGGTAACGGCTATGTTCAAGAAGCCTTTTTTTATCTCCAGAATCCTTGAGACGATGAATACATTTTAGGGCCATGCAGCTTCACAAGGTCTGTGCCATCACATAGCAGCTCTGGTATTATTTGAATACCCAACATTTATTAGGCTTTGACATGTAAACAGTATGTTCCACTATTCAAATTGCTGTGTGGCCAACTGTGCCCTCTAGGCATATTTTCAAGCTTGAGGAAATTGATTTTATTGAGAAACAAATTATTAATGAGTAGAAAGTGGTTACTCCAAATTGCTGTTGAGATAGACACTATGTTGAAGCTCATGTGGTACTAAATAATATGCAATAAATCAACAAAAAATCACATGTAAAGGAAGAAATTGTGTAAACCAAAGCTAAGGGAGATTGGAGAAAGTGCCTATTAAAGTTTAAGGGCTATGCAGTGTACCGTAAATGGTCACCATTGTATGTTTAGCGCCTCGTTGATGATGACCTGTCTGATAGAGCCTTTACAGCTGGGCAGTAACAGATGTTCGCTGGTTACGGTAAATATTTAGTGTTTGTTAGCATCTAACTCCTCTCATTGATCTTCAAGTTTTAAAATACATCCACTGCAAGGCCTCCACAGCAGACCTTAGCTCTGGAGTGTGTTACCTTTGGCTTTTGACCCTCACTTCCTCTCACTTCCGTGTCTTGAAAGTAGCTTTATGGGACTGACCTGTTCTTGAGGTTAGGGGGCAGGAGAGGGTAAAGACTCTGGACTTACCAGACAATATTAGCTGCTTTTTCTTCACTAGACTCATGTCCTTTACCACTCCCGTGAGACAACTGACCTTTATGAAAGCATGCTTGGGGGTTAAAAAACATGAAATAACTCAACCTGTGTGTTGATTTATTTTTAGCAATTTTCCCCGTTATTCCACTGCTGCAAAATTGCATCACATAGTAAACAAAACACTTTTCATGTTCTCTGTTTGTGAAAGAAAACCATTCAATTGTTGCTCATTAGTCAATATGGTTACAGTTTAGCCAGTAGCACCATGTGGTAGGTTACCAGCAATCACTATGTTAATCCATATACAGTAGGCTTTCCCCCTCACGTGACTAGGGCTCCCCTTGCATGCCCAGTATGTGCCAAGCTCATTTCCTTTAGTTAAAATAAAAGTCAATACAGATGCTGAATTGGGTTGCAGTGCGAGGGGCAAAATCCATGAATAGATTTATTTGTTGTAAAGGCTGGTCCAACCAGTCAAGAATGCATTGATGATTTACAACCCAGTCCTTTGTAAATAACTGTGTCACATGTACTATTTGTGCACATCTGTTGTCTATGCTGTGGTCGGATTCATGATAATGTCTGCCTCTGTTTGAGATTGATCTGTTCACTTTCTGCTCAGGGTTTGCAATTCCTTTTACATACTTGTTTGCACTAAGGCTGCAGTCTCTGTCAGGATTAACAAGGATTACGAAGAGAGTAATGCTACTTCTTATCAGGCCTGTATCAATGATGCCTGTGCTTAGGTAATGACGGACAACACGCACACTCTCACACATTAAATGTAGTTGAATTGTTGTGTTGATTTTTTAGTGAGTGTCAGAGAAGAAGTAAGACTGAAAAGAGAAAGCAAACAAGAGAGCAGAAAGGACTGTTGCTTTGCTCCTGCACAGCCCATTACAAAGTTCATCCTAACTTTGACATTGTTACGTTTTACAATATGCCTCTTGCTCATTTGTTTATTCAAATGTGATTTAGAGGAGATGTAAATAAGGAGTTAAGGTTTACCAAATGTTGCTGATGTTATCTTAAAATGGGCTTTGAAACATTCATCTTTTTGGGTTATTATTACATTTAATTTTAACTGTCCTGGTAGCATTACAGATTACTTCCACATTGGGCACACTGATTGCTTAGCAGTAGAAATAAGAAAATAATTTCCCACTACATTACATTGCATTTAGCTGACGCTTTTATCCAAAGCGACTTACAATAAGTGCATTCGACCAAGAAGATACAAACTTGAAGAAAACAGAATCATATAAGTACATCAGGTTTCATAGAGCTAAAACATTTCAAGTGCTACTCAACTGGCTTTAAATAAGCCAGTCCTTTGTTAGTATATAAGTGCTTTGTTAGCAATTCTATCGCTCGAAGTGGAGTCGAAAGCGATGAGTTTTCAGTCTGCGCCGGAAGATGTGTAGGGTAGGCTTTCTGCTGTCCTGATTTCAATGGGGAGCTCATTCCACCATTTTGGAGCCAGGATAGCAAACCGACGTGTTTTTGCTGATGGGAACTTGGGTCCCCCTCGCACAACAGAGGCGCTTTAGTGATGTGTTATAGAGAATCATGGACACACTAGTTGCATTTACTGGATCCACTTCGTTTTCTTTCTGCCATTAATCTCTATAAAATGTCCTCTTCCGGCCCGGTTTACAGCAACTAAACCGGCCACGTTATCTCTACCAACGCTTGGGGTCTCCCTAAAAACAGAATAGTTTGGAGTGCGTAGTGACTTGATTAACCAATGATTGATCACTGCAGGCTCAGTTGAAAAGAGTGTCCTTGATTTGTCTCACCAATTTGATCACTAATTCAATTACACTATTAACACTCTTGAGCAGCAGGCCAGGATTAGTCTGGGTGTTATACGTCCATTCCACAAGGCTAAGTCATGACTAGATCTAAAGCAATTTGTGTCAATGAAATCCAGTGAAACCTCCAACGATTAAACTCTGTCCACTTGCGTGTGACATGGCTAAATGTCTTGTGCTGCAGCACGAGTTCATGCCAACCTTTTTAAGACTTTTGAATGAAGAGGATTAACTTTTATTCATGTTGGATTTTTGAGCATTTCTTGCCCTTAGCACTTGAGTGGGGGACAGCTTGTTTGTATTGTGCCTTTTTACTTTTACATCCGTAATTCTAATTTTAAAGTGCCAAAGATCCTTAAGGTCCTATCTAATTAACACTGATGTCCCTCCTTTTAGCACATTTCTATTTCAAGTGAGGAAGGATTATGATGCATTTAGTATTCAGTTTCTGCAGGATTTTGCAACACTTGCTAACAGTGTTATGTCCACTTTGCCTTCAGAAACCTTTATGAGGTGTATACTCATCTGCAGAAGTCCCCTCACACATTCACAAGTTAAATAGGAGCAGTGCACAGTTTGTTGTAAGATGCTCAAGAGATGAAAAACATAGTTGCTCACTTGTCTGCAAGTGTCTATTTTCACATAGGTCAATGGAGGCGATGGCGCAGTGGGCTAGTACGTTTGTGTTCGGATCAGGGGAGCACAGGTTCAAACCCCACTGCAGTCAGCATGTCGTTGTGTCCCTGGGCAAGACACTTCACCCCAAATTGCTCCTGTGGGGATTGCCCACAGTATTGAGTATGTAAGTCACTTTGGATAACAGCGTCTAACAAGTAACATGTAATGTCAATGATAAGTACTGCTGCTTGACTGTTTTTGACTTTTTTGACACATGTTCTGGCTTAAACTTTTGAGTTCTTTTCCCAGGCTTTCTCTATGGATGTGTCAATGAATTGGCCCCTTGCTCTGCTGCCTGAGGACATAACCCAGTTGACTTGCGTCTACTCCTGCACCTGCAGATAAAGCCGCCCTCCAGGCTTCCTCTGTAATAAGTCGGCTCAGTTTGGGCGCAGCCCTGTTTGTCTTTTGCCAGCCCATAAGCCAGTCATATATATATATTAGTGTGTGGAAGCACAGCAGGCAGGTTCAAAGACAATATTTGTTGTACCTTGAGGTTGTCAAAAGTCACCTGAGGTCTATATATGAGCTAGAACTACAGATATGTGAAAGGCCATACCAACATCATGTTCGTGATTGCTGGGGGTGAAGCACAAGTTATTAGAGGGAGAAGATTTACTTCTTTACTTTTTAAATCCATTATAAGAGTCCTCTTTATTCACCCCCACTGAGTGAATAATGTTTGCTCAGTAGGAGTAATCCTTTCCTCATTAACAAACATTCTGTCCTGCAAAAAAACTACCAACCTCAGCCTTTTTTCAAGCCCTACCACCCTCCCCTCTTCATCTGCTTTTACTGTAAAGCTAGCCACACTCTAATGTGTTTTTGTCCCTCCCTCTTCAGTGATTGGGTCGCATTGGTTTTGCCTTTTTGTTTGTTTTGCTGCTAAACAAAAGTTATTACAGTGATTCACCATCAGCTCCAGCAGCAATAGTCTCAACCATGCATCTGTCAAGTGTAAGGAAATAAATGTTTCTTTCTGCTGTTCTATTCTGGGATGTTTGTTTATTCAAGAGCAACATAACCAGTAAGAGACTAAACGTGTCCTTTCAGTTGTCCTGCCTTTGTACAGTACATTAGTGGTTAAACCAGCAGCTAATATCCAACCCCATGCTGGTTTCCTAAGAATAGTCTCCTTCTAATATTACTTAAATCAACTTAAAGTAATAAGCTGGTATTATGGGTACTGAATGGAGTGACTTAAGGAGAGAGAGCGAGGTCTTCTATTATGTCTAAAGGGCAGCAACTTAAACTTGCTCCTCCAATCCAATTTAAAGTGAAGGACTTGATGAGTTTCTACAGCTGTTGTCGTCGTTCAGACAGAAGTAGGCCTACAATTTGTTTAAGTGGTCCCTGTTTGGTCTCCTTAGGATATTAATCAGTGGATTGTGCAGGTGTTTTTCCATGTGCTGTTTGTGCTTTTAATAGTCAGGTGAAACACACTTGCGCACTTGCTGCTTGACACATACTATATTCAGCTTGAATTAAGTTTAGTTCAAGAGCGTTGTTAAATGGAAGTCTATTTATGCCACTTAAGTTCCTTTTCCAAGGAGTGGTAATAAGACATCTGGAGTCGGAGTCATGTCACCTGTCAATTGCTGTTGGCCTATTTAGCGTGAGACGAGGTCTGCAGGATGAGCTGAACCAATCACAAGCATCAGGTTAATCTGCACACACACTTACAGTAGAGCCTGGTCTACTCTGTGAACACACACACACACACACACACACACACACACACACACACACATAAACACTTTGCAGGCACTTGTTGAAATATATTATTTGCCTTAATCCAACCACAGCTCAGACATGTAATTTTCCAGAGGATTAAGTGTTTTCAAAGAATACAGTTATTTATTCGCCGAGAAACATCTGGAATGTGGTGTAGTTGTTGGATTATGAGTTGATATTAACTTGAGGGATTACATTTGTCTCCGGGAGGATGTGAGGGATGTCCTTGTGCAGCTGTGATGGTACAGTAATGGTCTGTTGAAGAGTAAACGAGATGTGTGGTCTCTCTTTCAGGTCGGGAGATGTGTGAAGGAGTGTGACGGACGGCCATGGGACTGGAGAGACGGTGGCTTCAGGCTGTCACCACTGCTGTAGCCATCTGTCTGCTAAGTAAGTATGCTAATGCAAATATGGATTCATCGCATACACTTCGAATACATTTCCATAATTCATTTGCCCATGTGAACTTTTAGCTTTTTCTCATATTGTAAGAGGCATTTCTTAGTTGCTGTCTTCATCAAGGTTGATAATGCCACTCCTCAAAATTAAATACTTGTTCAATAAACTGTTAAACTGATCATTCGCAAAATGCATTGATATTATCAAAACATTGGACATAATAATGCAAATGAGTTACTTATTACCTAAAGCAGCTGGACCTATTTTGGGTTGAGCGTTGTGTCAGGTGTCGTATCAGGTAATGGTTGTATATCCTATTCTGCTAACACATAAAAACTGTAAAAGACAAAAAACAATTACATGTAAATATGAGTTTGACATGAACTGCACAGATTAGCTTTGATACAAATCTGCTTTGTTGGATCACATTAACATGATGATGGTACTGCTTTAAAGTATGACACTGTCTTTTTTCTTCAAAGGGTATTAGATAGCACTTTTACCACAAAAGGCAGCATTATTACTTTTGTTTACAAGCAGTTAAAACCGTTCAGAAAGCAGGCTGTTTAACAACGTAAATTAAGTGATTTCAATTAAATCAGGCAAGTTCTATCCGATGCTTTCTCCATTCATATCGTCATAAATTCCAACAAATGTGCTTTTTCGTAACACTTTCTAAATTGCGTTTGTATTGTTTGTAAGACACCCAGCTGTTTTCCTCCATTTGTCCCTACCATTTGTTTGCATAGCTTCACCAAAAGTAACCAACGTAAACAAGACCAGCTGTGTTACCCCCCTTGTTATGGTAAAGCATTTGGCATATGCCGCTGTGAGCTGCCTACATACAGTTTAATGATGAATCTGGCACAGCTCCCATTGACTTACATTGGAGAAAGTAAAGAGGAGGGGTTAACAACATGGTCATGAGTGGACGAGAGAGAATGGGGCCAAAATCCAACTTAAATAATATCTCTGGGTGTGGATTTAGATCAATCTGGGATTTATGCTACCCCCACCCGGAGGCACGCTTCTCTGTGTGCGTGCATGTGTTTGTAAAAGGGGGGGGGGGGGTGGGATTGATTGTGCTAGTCCGCAGACCATTTGTGTACTCCAGGGGGTGGTGGGAGGGTGGCTGGAGAGAGCACCGAGGGTCCTGCTGTCCTGCATCACAGTGACACAACCCCCCACCCCCCCACCCCCCTCTGAGAGTAAAGTAATCACCAGGCCAGATGAGTAGCAGAGCAAACACTGGCACCCAGTTGCGCGCACACCCATGAGTGCTCATGGCAGCAATGGGAGGGAGGAGGTACAGAGAGGAGACACTGCTCCAGGTGTCACTAATGGGACTGTGGTGTGTTTGCAGGCTTTGAAGCTTCATGATCTCATCACAAAATGGCACACAATTGTCTTTACATGCCCTCTGATGGCCCAGGTTTAATCAGGGAACACTATCCGGATGTCATAGCCTCTGTCTGATCCAGTTCGACATAAGTATTCATGGATCAGTTGTCGTGTCTTTTAATCTGTCAGCCAACAATTTATCTGTGTTGTCTTTCACCTCTGTTGTTCTGCTCTCTCCTAAGATACTGCTACAAATATTTCATAAACTGTTCTCCACATAGCAAACAATTTCTCTGGAATGAATGACCTAAAAAAATTCCAGAGAGGTTAATCCGGCCTCTCTGGCAGCCATAACTCTTTAAAAGGCCCATATGTCTCAGCTCTTTGTAGAGCATGATTGATGTGTTTGTTCCCATGTTCTCTGTTTATTGCCTACTGTGTTATCAGCAAATCCCCTGCCTTATCCTTGTGATATGCTATTGCTCTTACAGGTGTGTCTCAAGGTGAGGCATCATTGGTCCCGGCCAGAGAGGGGGCCTCTGCAGAGCTGAGCTGCAATCTCAGTCCTCCGTCCAAAGAATTCACCACCCCAAACCTCTTTCCTCTGCATGTGGTGGAATGGGTGCGCCTCGGTTACAACGTTCCCATCCTCATCAAATTTGGAGTATACGCTCCTCGAGTTCATCCAAACTACAAGGGTAAGAGATATACAGATGTGTTCAATTATACACTCCTTTCATAAAGTCTTTAAAACATGTGTTACTGGAAATCCAATCCCTTTATTGAACTTTTCCTACTGCTTTAGCGATTTGACTGCACTCAGACCGTATTGCGGTTCTCTGAATACATTTTTTTGAAGACAACAAAGAGCTGACTCTGGCTAATATCATGGCAGTTTGTTTCTGAAAGGATTCATATAACTGACCCCCGATTGACAGATTTCTCTAATTATGGTCCAGTAGATTTAAGTGAGGGGGGGTGGGGGTGTCCATGTGTCAACATTTCTCTTTACTTTGAGTTACATTCTTCTTTCCTGTGGTGTTGGCAACGACGTTACACTGGTTATTAAGGTAGACTTGGGAACAGGAAGTTTGGATGAAACAAAACTCTGAATAGGTAATCCATCAAAACCACAATCCCTGTAATTACCACTGGTGTGTGTTTCCAGACTGCATTTGCTGTGAAGGGAATAGGGGAAGGGCGAGAATGGATGGAGGCAGTAAAAGGGGGGTGGGGTAGCTGAGCAAGAACAAGGGGGGGTACCAGTAACGCCGTGCATGGGGGGATTAGGAGTGTAGGTGGGGGCTTGGTGGTCTGATGTCAGTGTTTTATTAGTATGCTGAGGGGTGACCCAGTAAGGGGAGATTGTTGTGCTGGAAGGAGGATGGATGAAGCAATGGGAATAATGGGAGTTTTCTTGCTAGAGCCCTATAATCCCGTCATTGTCTACCAGGGGACAAAAGACAAAGAGGGGTATCACAACCTCCCCTTGCTTAGCCAAAGCCAACAGTACCACTGGAACCCCAAATCCCATACTGTCCCAACTAGGCCACTGAAATGTACAGGGAACCTCGCCTAAAAGCCCTCTGCATTTTTCCTATTGGAACTTATTTCATCAGGAGCTCCCACTGAGAATGAAAGCCTCTGATTTAGAAACATGTTGTGACGACTCGCAAATGACTTTTGAGGTCCAGAGGGTCTAAACCACAAACAGGCCGCCCTCGCCAAGCAATTTGGCTACATGTGTTTGGCATGTTAACCCTCTTGTAGGCCGTTAACCATTTCATTGTTTCGGGGGAGTCATCTGATGCACAAGCAGCCATAATGAAGTAAACAACATTGCAGAGATGTGGCTCAGAGTGGGACACTGATGTCCTGACACTGATGTCCTAATGTTTTGCCATATCTATCCCTTGTGTGTAGTAGTCTGGTGTGGGCTTTACCCCTGTCTGCCTCAGATCCTCATATCTCCCCTCCTGCTGGAGGCAGATGGCGCTATGTGAAGCGTGTCAGCACAGTGGGTCTAATGTATTCTACCCTCAAATTAAAAATGATGGGGGATTTCAGATTTAACCACAAGACAGTCAAGTAGGGGACCATTTCCTGATCTTTGTCTTGGCTTGTCTGAGATCAGGAACAGAGCCGTGATGAGGCTTGTACTGTAGGGGTGGATTTACAACATAATGACTGCTTGCAATAAAGCTAAGTAAGGTGTCAGACTTCAATATGTATTACTGAATCTAAGTGCTTTCATGTCCTTCCCTTGGTGGTCTCATTGCATTGCAAATGCTGTGCATTTAAGTAGACTAAAATTAAAAGTATTCTCAAAGGCTGTCTGTCCTTGGTCTGCTGCTTTGTCTCAAGCTCACTGATGCTATTGGCCATTTTTAGAAACAGAGATGGAAAAATCAAAGCAAGCGATATCTTTGCAGACTATTTCAGTCGTCCATTAAACCAACATTTTTTGATACGATATCAGGTGCATTTGAGATTACATTCTGTATTTGAGGAGTGTCACAGCTGCTGAGCGATGTTCATCGACCCCATTGGAAACCACCCTGTCTAGGTCACATAGGGCTTTTCCAACAAGGCCGTTTAAGGGCTGGTTCGGAGCAGGAGCCCAATTGTGAAGCAGTTGTTCTTGTTTCCACTGCAGAGGCGCCGGCTCTCACATGTTGAAGGCTTTCATCAGAGCCTGGTGTAAGTTTTATGTAAGCAATAACAGTAGATGACGAATACGACGAATAGTAGAAGTTGTTGGAGAAGTCATGCTTCCAATATAATTTGGTTTTGTGAAAATAACTTAAAAAAGAACACAGCTCTAAAGCAGTTCGCCAGCTTTGTTACCGTGAGTGAAATCTGCGGTGGTTACTGGAAAGAAATTGCAACCTAAAAGGTGGCGTTATGACGCAGCCTCTTTTGTCTACGAACAAGCAAACCGGTTCTTAGGAGGATTGCCAGTTGAACATACTCCAAACGTACACTAACCCCAGCACAGAACTGGAACTGATCTAATTTTACTGGTAAAGGGGCCTGAGAGCCTCTTCTCTGTCGAGTGAATCGGGAAGGACTTAGTACCCCTCATCCCGCTTGCTCTGTGTATCGCACCCAGCATGCCCTGCAGGGCTGAACATTACTCAACTCACAACAAAGAGGAAACAGCCGGATACATTCTGACTGACACACTATTATAGTCAGTTTGAGATGTATTTGTTGAGACAATATGTTCCAGTCTTGCGATGTCAGGATGGTTTACTGTTGCAGAGTGAGATCAAATGTCTCCTGTGTGCTGAAGTAAATCAGGAGAGACTGTGAGCAGGGGAATCCGACCTGAGGTTAGAACCACAATGGGCAAACCCCCGATCTCAGCAGGCCTCTATCACACTCTCAGTGTGACCTCTGAACACTGGAGAAGGTAGGGTCTGAATTTGTCACACACACACACACACACACACACACACACACACACACACACACACACACACACACACACACACACACACACACACACACACACACACACACACACACACACACACTTAAATCTACTGAGGCACACTCAAACATATCCTGAACTCTAGAACCTTTGAACAAGTAAGCTTTTGCAAACATGAAGTTATTTGCTGTAAAGTCCAGCTGAAGGGTGAAACTGATCGCCTTTGTCCATCAACAACCTGTTATTCCGCTATAACTAGACCCAGATGATGTGTAGCAAACAATGACACAATGAAAGAAGAATAGGTGGCTGCAACTTGGTAAATTCCTCCAGGCTTAGAGCAGCAGGCCATTAAAAAAGCTCAATTTCCTCATGCCTGAGGTGTGAACTGTTCGGATTAGTATGATGAGCATGAGGTCACAGTCCGTGCTGTTCTCGTCATTTATATATCCGTGGTGTCCAAATGTCACTGCTGTACGATTACTTTTATCCAAGTGAAGTTTGGTTTTCTTTTTTATGAACGTTGCTTTCAATATTTTGAAGATTGTAACAAATTTGATATTCCATTATATCGTTTTTGAAGACTTTAAACATTTCCCTGATGGTCACTCACAGAGTAACTAAAGCAAATGTTAAGCAACTATTAATAATTAACAGCAGTGTTGGCTCCTACTGACCAGAAAACAAAGCTCGTACTGGAAAACTGTTCAAACACGACTCGTAATCTCGCTGGACCGAAAGGCATTTTTCAAAAATCCTTTTCTCTGTGATCATGTACGAGGGCTGATGTCGGCGGTGAGTTGAGTGGCCGCTGTAGTGAAATGTGGCACGTGAGCAGTGTGTGCTTGCTGGTGCAGGGGGTAACAGAGCTGGACAGGGCGAGGGGGACAGAGTTAACTGTAATCTATATCACGACAAAGAGCTATTCATAAGAGGGTTAAACTGATTAGGGAGACAGGAGGATTGAAGAGAGAAATTTGGGGGAGTGGGAGGGGTCAGCTGTCAGAGGCAGGGGGCCGGTCCCAGACTTATGATTGTATTCAAATCAAAACACATCCCACAATGCACCTCCGCTCGGCTCTCTTATGCACATACGGAAGGACAAAGAAAAGCAGTGCTGATGCTTCTCATAACAGAATAATCTGTCTTCCTCCACAGCCTCCGTGATGGTATCGCATCTAATTCACTATCCCCTCATGTATTTCTATGTCAGTAAGTACCAGTGGGAACCCCCAGTACAAAAATCACATGTTGATTTAATTCCACTGTAGCAATAACAGCCTTATCCTCGAGTTTCAGATGCCACAAGACTAAGAAAATACAGTAAACATGCAAATAATGTGCTATAAATCTTAAATTGGACTGACAATGAACAAGATTTATGTGGGTAAAAATATATGAGGTGTAAAGTGTCAGCTCGGTTGCATGACAGTGGTTTCAGTCGCAGAAAAAGCCTCATAAATCTTGTTTCAAAAAGAAAAGAAAGATAATATGATATCAGAATCCGAGACAAGCCCAGCTCCTGGCCAGCGGCACGGCTCTGTAAGCCGAGTTCTTCCTAACCTGCCACCCACTGGGCGAGAACCTGACTCCCGGGTGCGTCTTAGGGGTTCACACAGCAGTGTTTCCATGTTCTACTCTTGGCTGCACTGCAGCTCGATCTGTTGGAAACAAGGGGCTCATTTTAAGGTAGAGTGGAGCTGTCATGTGATAGCTGCTGGAGAAGGAACAAAGACAGTGAGGAGGAGGAAGAGGAGGGGGATGGACAAGAGAAAGGAGCAGCAGCTATTGTTTCAGACTCTCCCCGTCTAACATAGAGTCTAATGATGTTTGTGTCTTGAGGATGGCTCGTGGACATTGTGCTAATGTTGAACAAGGGGGAGTGATGAATGTGTCTGCAGGGGAGTTACGGGGCAAAGAGGTCAGAAAGGGCATCCTCTCATAGCCTGTCAGTGGATTATTGATGCGCACAATTTGAGTAGCCTCTCCGTAACCTCTCACTCAATTCCTCTTCGATTGAAAACAGGGAGGGTTTTTACTGATATGGCTGATCATTTTCAATGTTAGTGTTGTTGTTATTGCAGCATATTTGCATTGTATCTCTGCATCAGGCCACCAGAGAGAGAAAAAAAGCTTTGCGCAGAGCACCTGCCGAGAGCCATTTGAGATTTCAGTTCAAGTCCAGAAATGCAACATTCAAATTTAAATAAAGCAACATTTGTCACACAGCGTCAGCCTTTTGTCTGTCAACAGACTGAGTAGAATAGACCCTTTTTTTCTTGCCTCTCATTTATTTCTCTCACTCTTTTCTGCCTCTTGTTCCGCTTCATGTGACACAAGACAGTTTTTTTGTACATCTAAACAAGTTTTTCCCACTTTGTAATTGTTCAAACCTCTGACAGTAGAATCCCACACCCCCTTCATGATCGACCCTCCCCTTCCCGTGTTTCTACAGCAACTGAATTCAAATCCAAACCTACAGCCCGGGCTTTTTCTGGGTCTCATTGCTATGGTAACCTGAGAGAATGAGTGGGGGGCTGCCGTCTCTTTGTAGTGATGGACAAGAGGGAGGCTACGGGAAAGGGTTAAGTGTTCGACGGCGAATCTAGAATTCCCCCGTGGAGACCCAGGGGGCAGGGCGCTCACTGGATTTTGAAAATCAACTTGTGTATACACACCCACGTGCTTCTGAACCCACAGGATCAGTGCACATGGTCCGTCTGAGGGATTTCCATGGGCAGTCTTGTTATAAAAAAGAGTTGCTAACAGCCACTGTGATCTCTTAAGTATCCTATAATATATAACCACACAGGGATTAGCTTCATGTTAAAGAGGGTTTGTGTGATTTTGCACGTGAAAGTGTTTTCCCTCTCGGCTTGCAGTGTGGCAGGTTATTCCGTGTCCAGCTGCTTAAAGGTTGCACAGGAAATGGGCAGCCAGGGGAGGATCCCTCGTACAGACAGGAAAATGCCTAAAGTTATCCCCACACCTGTTATCATCCGCCTGCACATTTCCTCTCTCCTTGCCCTACCCAGTTGTTTGAAAGATGCTGTGTGAAACGAGAGGCATTCATTTTATGGTGCCTCTAAGTGAGTGTGCACCGCCCATCAAACACTGGTCGGTCTTTTAGGAGGTCAGTCAAACATTAAACCTAACTATTAAGCACAGCAACAGCCCCAGTCAGGAATGCAGGGTTAATTGTTAGCTATTGTTGTCTGCCTTAACTCTCAGTGTGTGCTTCTCCCTGTCTTAAGGCCACGTAAAGGGTTGAATGTATTTCATAGCCTGTAGGCTCTGCTCCAGACACGCTGTCTGGAGGGAACGCGGTGTGAATAGTGAGGGTTTGGGTTTCTTGATATTGTTGCCTTAGGACATTCAAGAATTATCTGCTTTTATATACAGTACATATGTCTACTGGGGGAGAATCTAAAGATCAAATTATGATTTTTTTTTTTATGCACAACTTTGTCCAGAGAACTGAATGTGACAAACAATACCTTTTTATCATATGGGCCTAAACAACCTGTTAAATGCAAACGAGTATGACGAGATGCCGGAAACTTCTCCACTGTTTACTTTCAAACAGCTTTGTCCAGAGCCTTGTATGAGCAACGTGTGTGTTTTCCCCCTGCACGCATCCTTCTGCCATTTAAAGGCCTGATATTGAAGGGGGGAGAAAAGAGTTCATTGAGAGACAGCATAAAAGGAAGTGGGGGTGGGTGGGGAAGGGTGGGGAAGGGTGGGGAAGGGTAACTCCAGTACCCTGAAAACCAGTCTGCAGTCACCAGGCAACCAGCAGATCAAGTTTCAAAGCCTGACAAGGAGTTGTAAGAAGTACAGAGAGGAGGAGAGGCAGTGCGGTATGGGTGTGTGTGTGATAGGGACATGTGTATGTGCTTGTGCATGGATCCATCTGTGTGTTCACACCCAAGGTCAAGGTGCGAATCAGCCATGCTTTCCTCCACATTGTTTATCTCAGCCCAACTTCCCCTCATTGATAAACAAAAACAGACTACTACTGTTGAACTGCAACAATATAAAGAAGAAAACCGACACTTTCTTTGTAAGTGATTGAATGAAGCAGCCTTCAAGTATTCCTGGCAAGCTCATCAGAACTCTCCACTCAACCATCTTCCAAACCCTAAATGACAGGACTCCAGTTTCATCTGTAATCATGCATGTCATTGCAACATGAGTGATTCATATGTTTGCACTTAATCTCAGGGCCACTGACTGCTCATCGTCTGAGCTGCACCGCCCATATTTTCATAAATAGCAATCTATGTGGTTAGTTATTTGCGAGCAACATTAGAGCTACGATTGGCTGTTAGAATAAAGACTTTGACTTTGACTGTGGCCTTTTGTGACACTGGATGCCGGTCCCCTCTGCATGGTAAGCCCTCTTCTTGCATGTGCTGACTCTGCCAGTCTGGTTGTGTGTGTGTGTGTGCTGACCCTCTCTCTCTTTCTCTCTCTCACCCCTTCCTCTTTGCCCCCTCCTCCCACAGGCCGTGTGTCTCTGACCCGGGGTGCCTCTCTGCGGATTGAGCGGCTGACCCTGGAGGACGAGGGCTGGTTCGAATGTCGCATCCTGCTCCTGGACAGCAAAAAAGACGACTTTAGAAACGGCACATGGACCTTCCTCTCCATCACAGGTGCAGCACTGCAGGGCTTTGGGGACTCGGGAGCGGCTTCTCTCACTGCTCATCACTGGCACTGTCCTTGTTTAGATCAGCCACAGCAAGGAGCCTGGCAGGGTGTCAGAAGGCCCTGGCAAGCTGAAGTGTTGTAGCAGCGATCAGAGCAGTGTGTGACGCTCTGCGCTCACAGTGATCACATCCCATCATGGCCTGCTTTGAGCTGATGTCAATGTAGGAGTTGATCTTAAGAATGATAGGAGTAAGACAGGGAATTTGGACATTGTGTGGGCTAAAGATTAGGGTTAAATGCTTAAATCTGAGTTTTTTTTCAATCACCTGCTTCCCACTTTGTCTCAAATACACACACACACACACACACACACACACACACACACACACACACACACACACTCTCGTTATGCCACAGTAGAGTTTAAAGCTCCATTGAGAGTGTGAAGAAGGGATGTGATATGATTGTACTGCAGTGAATGAAAGATCTGCATGTGCTGAATCAGGTTGCAGGTGAACACTGGACACCTTTGTACATAACAGTATTACATCATTCCATGTATTGTGTATCATTTGAATACACGTTACCCAACAATATGTCTGGCAATCCCAAAACCAAACTTGACAGTGCATTGGTCATAGATGATGGCATATTAATCCAAAACCCTTTCCAATTTCTTGAGTGCATATATTTTTGCCGTAGATGGATGTAAAATCAATAGAGTGCTGCAGGAGTTCTAAAACCCTGAAAGAAAATTGTTTGTTTTATGTGTTGGGGCCCTGACATAAGCCCTGTAATTAACACAAGCCTAAGAGATTTTTTACATGTGAGTTAACACCATACATGTGCATTTTTACCCTATTACATGTGGTTATTTGTAAAGATTATTTTTGCTGAAACGTATAAATATCACAAACATTTTTCTTGCTAAAGAGCTTATTTTCTGCAATAATCCCAAATCGCTAAATGCTAAAGAATCATTTACTTTTTGCCCAGTGAACTAGCATGATGCCTACTTCCAGGTCAGCCTACATAAATATCTCTTTCCACTATAATCACTCTATAACACAGACAAAACATAGCAGTCTCTCTGTCAAGATCATTGGACTTGCTGCTTGTTTTCATGGTAGACTCATTACCATTTGTGGTACTTAAAATCACACATTTGGAAGCATGGGTCTCTTACTAAATGTGTTGACTCAGTAGAGTACAAAATATGGTTATAAACAGCTCAATTGACAAGTATACTTCACAAAATGCGTATCTCCACACAGAGGACATACAAGGTCTGGGGATCATACAGATAAACCAGATGTTTTAAGAATCAAACCAGTCACAGGTGATCCCTCTCATATGTTTTACCATTATTTAGGTTTACCTTTTAAGCATTTGTTGAGAAGTTGTCCACCTTTAAGATGCCCTCATTGACTGTTGATGTCTGCAGTGAGTGCAAAAAGTCAACTAAGTGCTCTGATTGTCCTGTCGATATGTCCCATTTAAAAAAGGCAAGTAGAAATAACCCATCCATCTGTGCTCCCTTTGTCCTAGCTCCACCTGTGTTTATAAAGACTCCTCCAACTTTCGTGGAGGTTCTGCTCGGAGACTCGCTGACTCTCAGCTGTGGAGCCCATGGCAACCCTCGACCAACTGTTGTCTGGCATAAAGATGAGAGCCGAATCGAGAAACATGAAAAAATTAAAGTGAGATGAATTAACAGATGGCATTTGCAGTGTTTTAATGAAATACTTTATAATTAGCATTTTCTGTAGGAGTTGGACTTTGATGTTGCTTTGAAGCAAAGTGCTTTGTCGTCCTCTCGTTGACAGCCTCATGATCTTCCTCCGACTTTTCTCTCTCTTTGATCCTCTCACTCTTCACCTTCGCCCCCTTCTAGGTGCTCAATGGTACCTTGTCTTTGGCCTCCGTCGAGAGAAATGTTTCAGGAACATACAAATGTCACGTGTCCAACTCCGAGGGGAATCTCACCCACTTCCTGCAGCTGCAGGTCAAAGGTCAGTGTTGAACTGTCAATCATCAGGGGAAAACTGAATTCCTGCTTATCTCTCAGCACACTGTGATGTTCAGGTGAACAAGACACAAAATTAGTCAAAGTGAGGTTTTTAAACTACGCTTTGAATGTCTGTTATTTTCTGACGTCACACTGGCACTCAAACTAAAGAAAAGGCCTAATAAACTAATGGGTAAAAAGTCTTAATTGGGACAAATTGACTTATCTGATGTTAGTGTTTTTCTGATAAAATCTACTTTCTTGAATGAATACATGTCAGGTTAGTCCACACCATACATGCTGTGAGTGTGTTTGAGAGAGATTGACAAAAAAAGGGCAAGAGAAGCTAGAAGGTGGACTGTTGCACGCAGGCGTTCCGTAAGTTATTCATAACGGCTGCTTTCCCCCTGTCTGCCCTGAACCTGTCATTTTTTTATAGTAAGCTTATCTCGGCATGCTTTACTACTTTGCAGCCACCACCGGAAACTTATCCTACAAATATTATAATACTAATAAAATTGGTGAAGCCTAATCATAATCTGCAACCGTGCAGCAGTACCAGGTTTAAAGAGAACAAACAAACGCAAGATGCACATTGACAGTCGACTGTCAATGTTATAAATGAAGTTTTGAACTGTTTGGTAAAACCCTATAAAGTAACATCTACAAGGTATGGTTTTCTGGAATACAAAATATCTATGTTATCCTGTTCTCATCAAAAGCTTTGAGATTGTGTATGTGTTACCACAAACCCAGGGAACAGGTGGAACATCCTGGTTCCAGAGTGTATACTGCCACCTAGAGTCCATCCCCTGCTGTAGCATTGATTCAAGGCCAACCAACAGTCAGGACTTATCTCTTTGATTAGGCCAGACTGTGCGCATCAAGATAGAAACACAATACTTACAATAGGGTGTGTTTTGTTTTCTTCCCACTTGTCAAAAGGACCTCCAATCATCATCATCTCCCCAGAGGACACCACCCTCAACATGTCCCAGGATGCAGTTCTGCAGTGCCAGGCTGACGCCTACCCTTCTAACCTCAGCTATGAGTGGCTGAAACAAGGACAGAATGTTTACCATATTGAGTGAGTTCACGTCTTCAAATGACCATTACAGTACAATATATCACGTTACATTTACAACCCAAGATAGTTAGTCACATTTCTTACATCTGTCAAATGTCAAACATAGTTAATAAGACTTAATCAATTACAGTAACCTCATTTTATTTAGTGGAATACTGGGGAGATTATTTAAAGCAAGTCTTTATATACACACAATGGATAGCTCTGGCATTTCTCCACAGCATGCGTCTAATGCGATTCCTTCTAATTAGATTATTTATAAGACTGTTGTATCATGTGGTCTTCAGCTTGCTATAAACCTCAAATAAATGAGATTAGTCTTTAGATTATTGCCATGTTTTCAATGCTCTGATAATCTTATCAACATTATCTTTTTATTTGAATACTTCTCAAAATGTACCTTGCTTTGTTGTTTTGGCTTTAGGTCCCTGAAGACCAGAGTGAAGGTTTTGGTGGATGGAACACTTCTTATCCCTAATCTCATCCCAGAGGATACCGGAAACTACACCTGCATCCCGACTAATGGGTTACTCACCCCGCCCTCTGCCTCTGCGCACCTCAAAGTGAAACGTAAGCCTGCGATGAGTGTTTGCTTTATACAACCATTTTTATTTTTTTTAAAACACTTAGTTTCTCTTCAAGCCCTGGGCAAGAGCATATTTACCTTATGTGATCAATTCATTTTCCTGCATCTCAGACCCTGCACGCGTGGTCCGAATGTCCCGGGAAACGTACTTGCCTGCGGGCATGGAGGGGCGCATTATCTGCCCCGTCCAGGCTGACCCCCCTGTGCTGTATGTCAACTGGACCAAAGATGGGAACGATTTGAATCTTGACAACGTAAGCTACAGCTAGCAACACAGTTTGCCCTGCAGAGGGAATTGTCTCAGCCTGCACACATGCCACATGTTGATAATTTCTTTTTTTTTTCACCTGTCCAGTTTCCAGGTTGGATAGTGAACTCAGAGGGCTCCGTGTTTATTGCAACAGCCAATGACAACGCTGTAGGCATGTACACATGTACGGCCTACAACAGCTATGGCACCATGGGGAAGTCTGAACCCACAAAGGTCATTTTGCAGGTGAGGCGGCTGTTCTTCTTCTGATATATAGAAAACTGTTTCCTAGTAGTTAACACAAGGGCAGAAGTAAAACGTCTCTCTCTCCTGCAGGACCCCCCAACATTAAATGTGCCTCCTCGGACTGAGTATCTCCAGGAGGTGGGCCGAGACTTGATCATCCCCTGTGAAGCCTCTGGAGACCCCGCTCCAAACGTAACCTGGAGCAAGGTACGGGCGTTTTTTTACTGATCAGTAGAGGCGCTGAACAATCACTTTTTTCGTTTCTTATTTTAACCTGTTGCTAAATGTCCTTCCTCACAGATTGGCCCTTCTCCTCGCTCCGAGTACGCCGTGTTAGCTAACGGCTCCCTCCTGCTGCAGCCGCTCAGTAAAGACCACCATGGGGGCTGGGAGTGCTTGGCCACTAATCGTGTTGCAACTGTCAGCGCAGGCACTGTGGTCATGGTGCTCGGTGAGTGGGCCAAAGTTATATTTGTTTACATGTAACATCCATCTTGAGTGAATTCTAGGTCTAGTCTAACATTTACTTTCATTATCGATTCATCTTCCAATAATCTTTTGGGATGAATCTAATGCCCCTTTTGTCTAAAGAATGTCACAGAAATAGTGAAAAATAACCAGGGAATGTCTTAAAATGCACTTTCAGTCCAAAAGCCAAAATATAATAAAGGTCCCATGACATGGCCATTTCTACTGATCATAATTCCATTGTTGAGGTCTACTAGAATAGATTTACATTGTTCAATGTTCCACAATCACATTGGTTTCTCATACAGCATCTCTCTATAGTATGTGTATTCACTCTCTGTCCTAAACGGCTTGTTGGAGCTCCTGCCCCCCTCCTCCCTATGAGCCCACTGTGCTCTGATTGGTCAGCTCGCCCACTCTGTTCTGATGAGTCCACCACCGTTACAGCGGAACATCAGTGATTATGTGTTACAATGGCGTTAGCAACCAGAAAATGACACCAGTAAGGACAAACAGATGAGAATGCTGCGTGGGGTCTGGGTGCCGTGTTGGCGGGACGTTGCGAGGCTCGCTGCTGCGAGGAGCGGACAGTGTGAGCTGGCTTACTGGTGTGGTTTCCTGGTTGCTGCGTGGGGTCGGCGAGACACAGCGAAACCCAGTCCGAAACCAGCCCGAGCACACACACACACCCGCAGCCTCGCCGTGTCCCGCCGTCTCAGGCTGAGAAATTTCTGCAAGATAATTACTTTTGCGATGAATCCAGTGGTTCCCAGCCTTTTTCAGTGTGGCCCCCCTTGGGTAATTGGAAATATTTTCGAGCCCCCCCTAACCCGGTTCCCACCGAGATTGGTAGAATTAATTGTATATAGTTGTACAAACATTATATTTTTCTGCTAATAATAACAAGACAAAAATATCCAACTATAATTGTATATTTTATTATGGATTGAACATGAACTAAAGTGCTTGTATTGGCAGATCAGCGGTTTTCAAAGTGTGAGGCGCGCCTCCCCTGGGGGGCGCCAGAGAGCTTCAGGGGAGGCGCAGCGTGAGACAAAAAATAACGAGAAAAAGATGAGTTAAGTGACACTTGCCCACTTTTGGCTGGAGACCGAGTTCCCCCACCTCGCCAAAAAGGCTGTAAAAGTGCTCATTCCCTTCACCTCCACCTACCTGTGTGAGTGTGGGTTTTCCGCATTGACTTTGATCAAAAGCAAGTGCCGGTCAAGGCTGCAGCCAGAAGATGATCTGCGTTTATTCCTGTGTGCATCAAAGACGCAGACTCATTGTTCCCACTAAAGTAGGGGTGAGTGTAATAAGGAGGCAAAGTTGACGTTCAGTGTGTTGCCGGGAGCATATAAGGATGTATCCACGATGTTAAAAATGTTTTAAAAAATATGTGTTGAGAACACGGCGTGCGAAAATATACGGGTCGTGCTGCAGCTAGATTTGCCTGTCCTCTGTAAGAAGGTGTCGGCGACTGACATTACATTACATGTCATTTGTTAGATGCTTTTATCCAAAGCGACTTACATACATTCAGCACTGTGGACAATCCCCACAGGAGCAATTTGGGGTGAAGTGTCTTGCCCAGGGACACAACGACATGCTGACTGCAGTGGGACTCGAACTTGCTACCCCCTGATTCGAAGTCCATCACACTATCCACTGAGCCACAGCCTCCCGACATGCATGGAAGAACGGCTGTCCACAGGCTGTTCCAACTTTAACAACTTTATTCATTTCCAGGGTAGTGAATTGAACATGCAATTGTAATTGGGTGTGTGGTATATTTTCATGCACGCATGTTATAACAACAAGTGCACGTTACTGATGCAATATGGTTGAGACCATTCGGGCTTATTCTAGAGGGGTGCAAGGAATAGTTATTGTTTAATGTTTTAAGGAGGTGACGCTACTCAGCCAATCAAATCGATGCAGTCAGTGAGTCAGCACGATAGATTCAAACACACACACAGATACGAGACAAGAGGAGAGAAACAGTCGGAGTCATTTCAAATGGCGAAAGGTAGACAGCGAAAACAGAGCATTTAATGACATTTTCTTTTACTGGACCTCTTTGAAATGCAATTGAATACCCCTGCATTATAGCAACAACAACAATAATAATAATAATAATAGCAATAATAATTGGGAGGGGGGGCGCGGCTGTTCTTATGTTCTCTGAGGGGAGGCTCACCTTCCCACACTTTGAAAACCCCTGTGGCAGATGATCCTGTGCCACTGTGAAATAATGAGGCCTAATTGAAACAATTACAAATACTACTTATCGATCCGGTTCTTTAACAGTATTTTTATAGGTTCTTTTTGTTTCTTTTTAAGGGAAAAACAAAATGTTGAAAGAGAATTAACATTGATTTATGTTATGTATAGTGTGGATTATGGGCTGCTAGCACACATAACATACTTGCAGTGGTGATAGTAACTAAGTAGATTTATTCACGTACTGTACTTATTTTGAGGTACTTAAGTATTTCCATTTTTTAATTTTTTTGCTTCTTTATAATTGTGCTCCTCTACAGTCCAGAGGTAGATGGTGTACTTTTACTCCACTACATGTATTTAGTACCTTTCGTTACTTTACAGATCTGGATGAATGATGTGAAATATAATCAACTCTTAAATCAGACTTTAGTTCCACCTGGAGTAAATTCACAAGCTACCCTGCAGTATACTTCTTTTACTTAAGTACATGATCTGAGTACTTCTCCCACCTTACACGTAATTGGGGCAACAGAACTCCGAGTTAAGGAAGTCGAAAACGGTGCATTTCTCCGTATGAATCTGATCAACTTGTCGATTAGTCGACCTTTCGTTAAAGTTTTGGAGTATTCATTTCATTTCAAACCTTTATTTATTCAGGTTGTATCCCATTGAGATCATTGACCTCTTTTTCAAGGGAGACCTGCTCAAGTAGGTTCCACATGAAACATTAAAAACATAAACAGAACAACAAAAGGACATCATACATTAGCATTACAGGGATTACAAATTACATACTATCCACATGCACATGTACCAACAGCTTCCGATTCAGTAGCATCCAACCGAGCTTTAAAAACATTTAGTGGCAACAGATTGCTCAGTTTCCATTTTAATTGCAGACTATTCCAGGACAGTGGAGCTGCGCATCTAAATGCTATTTTCCCTAAGACAGTCCTAGCAGTTGGCACATTATTCATCCATATTGCTGACAGAGGTACTTTATTAAGAGTTTCTCTGTTCCTCAGGCACCAGTCCTCATGTTGTGTCCTCAGTAAATGTCGATACAGAGATGAATCAGGCCAATGTGTCCTGGGTGCCTGGCTTTGATGGTGGATACACCCAGAAGTACACTGTGTGGTAAGTAACACAAAATACATACTGTTTGATGATGCCGTTCTCAGCTCTGAAAAACAACCCATACTGTTTTCTGCTTTATGTCTTTATTTTGGCTGTTTTGCTTTCCTTCCAGGTTCAAGCAGGCATCCAGAGGGAAACATGAATGGGCCTCTCTGCCTGTGCCGACTTCCAAAAACTACCTGCTGGTGACCGGGCTTCTTGCTGGCACTGGCTATCAGTTCAGCATCCTACCTCAGAATAAACTCGGCTCTGGACCTTTCAGTGAGATCGCTTCTGTGCGAACACTAGGTTTGTGCAAGTTCTTTTTGGAGTTCCCCTCACTCTCTCTAATGCTGTTTTACAGTTTGAACTTAATATTGTGTCTTCTGATCAGCTGTGCCAACAGAAGCACCTACAGTCGTCACCATTCTCCCAATGCTGGATCCTCCAATGTTCCTGTCAGCCAACCGCACGGACCAAGGTGTTCTCCTCCAGTGGTTTCCTCCTGAGGCTCCGTCTGCTCCACTGACCAGCTTTGTGCTGCAGGCCCGCAGGGACCAGGGCCAGTGGCTCATCCTCAGCAGCAACATCAGGGCCAATCAGAGTGAAGTACTTGTAAAAGGACTGCTAAGGGTAATTACTACATTTCTCCTCCATAAGTGTCTGTATTTTCCAGAGATCAGTCTGTATGTCCTGCCTTGTGTGTAGATCAAATAGCTATTGTGCCAACAATGGTGTTACATCAAATTGATGAATGAAAATAGTTGAACTAACATCATAAGCATACATGTGTATATTCAATAAAACTCCTGATCTGTCTGTCTCTCAGGACTCCAGTTATGATCTGAGGCTGATGTCTCGCAGCAACAAGCTTCTTAGTGAACCGAGTGAGTCCGTCAATGTTTCCACAACAGGTAAGTGCCTTTTATAGATAACCATGAGCTTAACATGCATTGAGTGAAAGTTCCTGCACATGTTTATTACTGGTTATTTGCTAAATTAGCATTAGTTTTTAGCAATAGAATGAATTGACTCCGTTTCGATTACAGGGATGGAGATTTACCCCGTGCGCCCGAGTTTCTTGGAGTTCATCCCAGAGCCCCTGTTGGCCGGTGTGTTGGGAGGAGTGTGCTTCCTGTTTGTGGCCATCATCCTCTCGCTGGTGACGGCATGCTACATGAGCCAGAGGAGACAGCGTCGGCGCAGAAAGAGAAGACAAGGTCAAATGTCTCATTTAAAATGTTCTCCCAAAAAAGACGAGCTGTGTTTTCCGCACACCAAGAGAGTTTGTTTATTGTTGATAACCAGGTTTATGTCAAATGCACTTTGACATGTTTGGAACATTTCATCAGTGCTGTCTTTTTAATCCTTCTTTCACCTTTTCTAGATCTCCCATCAGCTCTGCAGAAGAGCCCATCTCAAGAGTAAGTGTCTTCACCAGTACAGCTTTATATCTTCATCAAACATTTGTTCCTTTATTTGCAATTTGATTTTGAAATACGAAATGTTTAGTGTATTTAATGCTTATTCTTGTATCTATTTTGGCTTGAATGTTTTTAAATTACACTAAAAGCCTTCTCACCATCCATTTCACTTTATGATATGACACATTTATACTGCCTTATGACTTTTAACTATAAAGAAACAATGAAATGAAGATACTTACAAACACATCATTGCAATCTCATCTTTTTAATCAGTCTCAAGTTACAAATTGCACCTTTTTACTTTTTCTTTGTCAGATTCTGCAGTAGGGCTGCTCGATTATGGCAAAAATCATAATCTCGATTATTTGGGTCAATAATTGATATCACGATTATTAAAAATGATTATCCATTTACTTTGAAAACATCAATTTATTGAAAAGAAAAATGTGAACAGTATGTTTTTAAGAGTTGATTACCCTGAACTTTAAGTATAATTCAACTGAAAAACTAATATAAGAAAAAAAAAAAAAAAAAATTAATTTTGATAATGTTGTTTTCATAATCGTTGCAAGCCAAAATCGTAATTGCGATTAAAATACGATTAATTGAGTAGCCCTATTCTGCAGTACTGTGAGGTTGTTTTAGGCAAAACATCAATTATTTCCCCATCTTGTTTCAGTGTTCGCTCACCTCCTCGCAGCCCGGACAGTGTCCTAAAGCTGAAGCTGTGTCCGCCGCTCCCCTTCTTCCCCAACTCCTCCTCACACTCTGATCGGTCGTCCTTTGATAAAGGCAGCCGTGGGGAATACCACGACCAGCGGAAACAGCTCCTGTCCAACTCGTCTCCACCGCCACACTACACACTCTTTGAGAGTCACCTGGGCTCTCAGGCTCTGGAGTCCATCTCCAGAGGCCCCGATGGACGCTTCATTATGCAACCGCTGCAAGAGGAATCAAGTCCCTCCAATAAGAACGTGAAGAAGGAAGTCCTGCAAATGAATGGCGGGGCAAGTGGCTCAGGGAGCAACAGGACTTCATTCAGAGACTCTCCAAAGTCAAGTCTCTTGAGCTCAGAGAAGGACGAGAGGAAGGATTCTCCTCTCACTGTGGACGTCCCGGAGCTGAGCAGACCTCCCTCCTCTCCTGGAAGAGTACAGGCCATGGCCAGAAACTTCTCCCGCCACGGCTGCTTTTATTCTGACGAGGAACAAGGCTCAGAGGCTCTGTTGGAGAGAGCCAGCTTCTACTCGGACAACAGCGAGTTAAAACCCAGCGATTCTCTCAGGAGGCCTCGCATGCCGGGCCACGCTGAAGACCTGTTCCCGAGTTTGGGGAGGAGAACAAAGCTGCTGGATAGAAACAGACCACATCGTCCAGGCTACCATGCTATGGAGAGTCAGCTGACTGATGACAGCACCATGGTCTCACAACTCGACAGTGAGCTGGCGAGCGATAGCATTAACAAATGTGTCCGACTGGCAAAGGAGAGGGAAGAAATGGAGCGGGAGCTGGAGAACTACACAGCGGAACAAAGAAGTCGAGGGAGAGACGAGCGACAGTCTAATAAGACAAAAAGTCCTCAAAGAGACTCGCCACAATCAGAGGAAGAGCCTGTATGGAAGCCACAAGACGTTACCATCAGACAGAAACCCAGGCCCTCATCTCAGACTAGTCGTGTATCTGACTATCGGAAAGCGTGCTACTTCGGGAACACCAGCAGTCCCTCTGACCGGCTCCCTACGTCCCGCATACAGTGGGACATCAGCCCGGTAACATCGAGGACCAGCCTCATTCCTGTGCAGAGCCCCCGGGAGACCTCATCGCCCAGATCCCTGCACGCTCGCACATGTAGAGAGATCACAGAGGACTCTCTTGCTGTTGATTCCTCACGCTCTCCGGTCACCCAGAACACCTCCCTCCCCCTGCTCTCCCCCGACGTCTCCTCAGAAAGCCCCCCTATCCTGTGTCTAGAAACACCAGACAGAGCCAGGTCCTTGAGTCCTCTACAAGATAGATGCAGGAAGTCCATGACTGAGCAGGGCTTTAGGGAAAGGACACGGGATGGAGGTGTTGCTACGAGGTCCAGACATTCATATGCTAATGCCACTAGTCAGCCCTGGGACTCATCTGCCCGAAGTCCTCCAGTTGACCGTGAGAGGCCTGAAAGTTCACTCTCTGCCCCATACCACCAGCCTGAGGGGACTGAAAACTACTACACAGCTAAGAGGGATCCCAGTCCATCCAGTTATTCTACCTTACCCTATGAGCACCATGAAATAGGAGCAAAGGCCAAAGATGACCGACGTAGTTCAGGTTTAGAAAGAGAGGGTCTGCGAACGCGTTCCAGGAGAAGTGACAAATGTCTCTTCTCTGATAGTCCAAGTCCTATTTCCACATTGACACTTGTAGAAGAGGTTGATAGTGACCAGTCACAGTTTTCTGTCCCTATGATGTCAGGGTCCTTTAAGGCCAAGCCAGCAGCTCCATCTGTCCAAATGTCCCCTCTGCAGACAAGTGCAATTCTTGAATACCTGAGCCTCCCAGGGTTTATAGAAATGAGCGTAGATGAGCCGGTGGAAGACACTGCAGTCTCAGACACTGCAGTCCCAGACACCACTGGGCAAAGTTCAGAACTACAGCCAGAAAAGTCCCCCGGGCCTAAGCCTGATGTGGTTCCCAGAAACTGGGAGGTTCATGTTCAGGATAACCGGGAAACAACCTCAAACCAACCCTCTGCAGGAGCTGGAGAGGCCAGCCTGCATGAGGGTAGAAAACAAAGACATAAACGCACCCTCCCACATCTGGAAGCTAGAGATTCTTCACACAGAGTAAGATTTCCAGATGAGCCATCGTCGCCTGGTCCAGAAAAAACTAGCAAGCAGCTCTATAATGAGAAAACACTAAACCGAGCGGGGAACAAGAGCACAGACAGACCTGAATCCAGGATAGGATCCAGGTCGGCTCAGTCCTTGTTCAGTGCAGCTAGAGGAATGGCCGACTTAGTGTCCAAACACTCACAGAGTTTTGTAGAAAGTAGTGAGTCTTTATTAGAGCAACCCCAAAGACAAGCTTCTCAGGGCAGCAGGACTAACAACATTGCATCGCGGATAAGTCAAGCCCCTGTGCCATTTCTAAAGAAGTCCTTGAGCATCGGGCCGTGTAGGACCCTCTCAGGTATGGGCCCCCCTCGACCTTTCCTAAAGAAATCCATCAGTTTAGGCTCACAGAGGTGGGAGCACTTCGAGAGCCCGAGGGCATATATTTCTGAGAAATGTTACTGGGACGAGTACCAAAACCCAGACGTCAGGGTGAAGTCTTATAGTTTGGGACGCAGCCCGCCCTCCTTCATCAGGCCGGGCCCCTCCTGGAGGGAGTACATTCCGTTCAGACGCCCCAGCATGGGCAGCTTAGAGACGCCTCACCCCCATCAAAGACCTTTAGCTAGTCCTTCCTACCTCACCGCCTCCATGTACCCCCCCAGACAAACCTCAATGTCCCCCATGATGGAGCCCATAGATCCCAGACGGCAGGCCACTGTTTTCCCAGAATCCTCCAGGTGGTCTCCCTCTTATCAAGAACCTATGAGGTCCTCCCAGTATAAATATGTCGCCATGCCCTCTTCCATCCCTGTCCCCCAGTACCAGCACTGGCCAGGATCCAGAGCAGACAACATGAGGCACATGGAGCCCAACAGGGGCCCCCCGAGGTCCTACCTGCCCCGGGGCGTCAGCTGGCCCTCCCCTCACTACGCCCCCTTCCCCCCCAGAGAGGCAGAGACTTACAGACAGCCAGACAGGGTGATGAGGAGGGGAGGGGAGACAGACATACGGGAGGGGGGGAGGACCAGTTATGCCAGTCAGAGCAGTGGGAGGGGTAGCGCCGGGCTCTTCCGTCAGTCCCTGTCCATCACCCCCACGCTGCTCAGCTCCCCCGAGACCACGGAGGAGGGCGAGGGGCACCGAGCGGAGACGGAGCTTCCTGAGAGGAGAGCCAAAAGGTGAACCTTCACCTCCGCTGGAACAAAACCACCAAGTCACTGGAGTGTCCTCTGGGCACAGGGATTTATTCATGTTGCCAAAATAACTTTCATTTTGTTTCGGTAACACTTTATATGCCTCTCGTGTTTTAAGTGAATTATAAACATACTTAGAATGTGTTGTAATCTGCCTAAAGCACCTTAGATGTATAGCTATAAGTATTCATAAACCTTTAAACTCACTATTAGATTATTAGGCATTTTATAATGGTTTATAAGCTCAAGTATTATAATATGTAATGACTGCTGGTCACTTGTGTGTGCCGTTCTTGGACATTTAACAAATGATAGTGACTTACAACCAGCTTGTGATGTAGTATATGTACTTTACTTAAAGCACCCAATGCCCAGAGAATAGAATAATCACTGTATAACCCCTTATAACAGTGGTAATAATATATAAAGTCAATTTAATTATAACTCCCATATCCCATAACAATTATTGGATGAACAGTATAATCCTTGCAGACAAAATGCCAATTTTAAAAAGCCATTGTGAAGTATTAGATTGACCTTTTGAGTCATTATAAAATACTTTATAATATGTTGTGATTATTGTTATAAATTATGAATGTGTACAAATGCTTATACTTACTTAAACACCGCTAAAGGCATAATAATGTATTTGATAAAGCATTATAACATGAGGCGTTGTAGAAAGTGTTTGTGTCTTCTGTTATCTGACCGGTCCTGTGTCCCATCAGAAGGAACACGTCAGTAGATGAGAGTTATGAGTGGGACTCTGCTGATGCGTGTGTGGACTCGGAGGTCCTGGAGGCCATGAGGTTTGATCAGTCGCACACGGGTTCACGGAGATGCCGGTCGGAACTCAGATATGATCAAACCGCTGGCCTGCGGGACGAGCGACAGAAAGGTAAACACTCCCCCTCTCCACCTCCTCAGTGTGTGCTGCGTGTATTCGATGTTGCATGTGTCGTTGTGAGTGTAATGCTCGATGTGATGGTGCTGCATGTGTTCACCCTGTGCCCATCCATGCATTCCTCACCCCCAATGCTCCCCCCTCCCCCAGGCCCGTGTCCCTCAGTCAGCCCACCAGTTTCCAACCCACCTCTCCAGCTCAGCCGCTCCCTCAGCGAGGCGCGCTTCAACGCCCTGCGGCAGGAGTACCAGCAGTACAGGCAGGCTCAGGGGTCCTCGTGTTCCCGGGGGCCCCGCCTCTCCCACGACTCTGACTCTGACTCCGGCTCAGCGCTGCTCTAGCAGATTCATCGGTCCGTTATTCCTCATTCCCTCTCTTCCCTCTCTTTTCCTCCTTTCACTGCTCGCCTGCCTGCTTCATTTTCTTGCCTGCTACTGTGTCATCCATGTGCGGTGAATTTGTGCATGCCAAATATCAATATGTCCTTTGAAGGTTGTTTCTCTAATGCTGTACCATCTTTCTATTACAGGTTTATCTCAGACAGATACCAAAAAGCAGACTTAAGTAACAGAAGACATCCCTCTGGTCCTGGACAGTGTCACACCTCACTGGAACTCTCATGTGAAATAACTCATTGTCTAAAGTTGTTTCCCTCTGTTACAGTAGCCGAAAGTGAAGACATTTAAAGAGACAGCACCATATGCTGCATGCCATCAAACTTCAACTCCTCGGTTGTTAACAGATGACATTTTATTTTTCTTATACTTGTTCCATTTTGCTTGGCATAATGAAACTGAGAAGGGATTATTTATTTTTCTAAGAAGCTTGTGCATTTTGGGATTGTTTTTATTTTTTCTAACCTTGACAATCAGGCACACAGGGCCCTTTGAGAAATGAAATGCTCACCCTCGACTAAGGCAGGTTTACAGTTACAAAAAGACAGGCTTTATAAAAGCAGCTACATAATGCAGGTTGTATTTCAAGTTTATTTCTGTATCGCATCGAAGACTTCCCTTTATTCATAAAGGGATGCTAAGGACGATTATGTAGGTCTGTCTAAGAAAGCATCTGTTTGTGGAAATCTGTCTGTAATGATAATCAAACAGTGCTCTAAATATTTTTAACACAACCTCCCTAGGAATACTACAGAAGTACTAATAGTACCCACATGATTAAGCAACCCTGACTTTCGTACTTTGGTAAAAAAAATCTCCGATCAGTTCATGATAAACTTCCTGTTACCTCAAACAATAATTTTCTCTATTTAAAAGAAGAATTTGTTCGTTTTTTCCTGTTAGTTCCCTGAAGTATTTCCTGTTTTATACATTTAGTTCACAATAACGTTCCACTGTCAAGCCTCTTTTAATGAAATCACTTTATATAGTTCCCAGTATTTGTAAAAAATGTACAAATGTTTATATGTACCTTAATGAACCCTGCTGTGTATATTCCTCTTCACCATGTCATCGGATGAGAAAATGCTACTTTACTCCACCTGAATCAGTCTAACCTTCCCTCTGTGATTAAATGACAGATACAGTAACACTTGAACACAGGGAAAATTATTTTTGCCTTATCTTTGTAGATTGACCACCAAAGGTTAAAAACCTAAAATTATTGAAAAGTTGTTCCTTTTTTTACACGTTTTGCTCACTTGATGAGTATTTCTGTATATTTATGAAGGTGAGTTATGATATGCAACAATGTTTACACTTCATTGATGTGAAGGCAGCACTGTGAATATTTCATGGACTTTTGATTCTGTATTTTAATTGCTGTGAAGTCTCTAATGAATTTCGTGCCCTTTACTTCTTTTTTAGTTTGAAAGCTGTTTTTTATTGCGTCACCTGACAAAAAGAGATCTAAACAGTATCTTTGTAGCTAAGATTAAATATTTGTACTATATTTACATAAAGAACCCAGACGAAAGTGTTCATACGGAGTGGGTCTGCATTTCTGATGATGGTTTTGGAAGTTTTTGTACAAACTGGAACATTTTATATCTTGCCACCTGGTTGTTTTTGTCATTTTTATATGTTTGTAATGAATAAATTGTTTTATTCTGAATTCACCCAACTGAAGAGATGTGTTGATATTTACAGTATTATGAGGAAAAGCATGTGACCGTGAACACAGTTGCTCTTTTACTTGTGAAGTTAGCTAGTTAAAGAGGCCCTATTCTGCCCTGTCCTGGTGTGTAGGTTTTTGTGGTCTGCAAAGGCTAAATCCCAAAGCTCCCTCCAGAGGGAGTTTCTCTCCCACGCACACATCCCCCCACCCCCCCGGCCTGAAACGCCTCCATTGGACTCATTAGTTTACTTCTGTAACATGAGTACATCACTATGTAACACTCGCATCTAATGGATAGCACTCCAACACATCGTACGTAATAGGCTAAGGGGCGGGACGTCTCTAAGCAGTTGACCAATCACAACAGAGCTAACCAATCACAGCAGACTGGGCTCTGGTTTCAGCTGCAGCACAGGCAGTATGAGAACAATTACAATTTACCTTGAGTGGAAAATGTCTGTACCAATATTCAATGACAATTCCTCCAAGATATTTATTAAAGCCTAAATGTGAAACAGCTAACCCGTTCTTAAACATCGTCCTGTATTTCAACATACTCCAAGCACTGAGTCATGTCTCCAGAGACGAGTCCCAGGTTTGACAAACATTTCCTTTAAATGTCCATCAGACTGCTGATTATTTTAAGAATTTAGTGGGGGTGACCTAACGTCCTAAAGGTAATTCAATATTTATTTCTTAAGCTAAATTATTTAGTTGTTCCCACTTAAAATCTGTAAGCACCGTCTAATTCAGAATTTGCATAATTCTGCGTTGCATAAAACTGTTTGTGTCCACAGTACTAACATGTTTCAGTATATATCCCCATTAATGAAGCCTAAATGACACCAAGTATTATGCTTTTGCAAATATTATATGTACTGTAGTGCAATGTTTTTGTTTGTTTTTCACGATCCCAAAGCTATAATGCTGCTGCAAAACGGACAAAAGATCCGAAGCAATTGTAATTTGACTGCTGCTACCCTTTAGTTTACAGGGTCAGTGATAGCTTTAATAAAAGGGTTTTCAGTTGTGTTTGGATTACTGTGACACACGTGTGAGAAGATGCCTTTCATGACTAAAAATAATATGTCTCCAGTTTTAAATATGATTTAAATGAAGTAGATAGTAACCCATGAGCCCCTCAGATGTGTAGATCTTCTCTCTGTAAATGTGTACATATAAACCAATACAATCAATTAAACACAACAAGCCATTTGCTTTTCAATTTATGGATTTATATTTTTCCAGTTAAGAATTCATTGCAGAGGTGTACATCACATGTCGACACCAACTTCCTCTATTTCTTTTTCAGGCTGAAAATGTCACATCACTTGGTTGACATACGCATGACATGTTTGACCATGTTTCCAATGCCATCAAATATGTAGTGGTAGTGATACTCCGTTTCCCACATGAAGGACGGGGTGCTGACCACCTTGTTCTTCTCATCCACGAAGGCTTCGTAAAGAAAGGGTTAAGGTCAAAGCAGGAGTCGTTTTAGAACATACACAAGGAAAAAGAGTTACATAACTTACAGCTGGGAAGGTCATTTGAGGTTTGATAATCTACATACATTCACGTCTTGATTTATTCAAAAGCTTACATCTCATGTGACCAAGGGACTACAAATCAATGCAGGATTGTTTAACTACACTGTAAGGACACACCTCTTTTTATGTTATGTTAGAAATATTTGTGCCATTTTAACTTTAATTTAGTGATGGTTCCTGAATTAAACCCTTTGGTAAATAGCAATGGCTTGGATTTGAGCCTACTGTCCTTTGAGTGCAGTCAGACTGTGAAACTGAGTAACAAGACAGAGTGAATGTCTGTCAAATACATTCAACCTAAAACTTGCTGTACACAAAGAATCCAAAGGCTGAGAAGAGTTAAGAGCTCTCTTAGAGATTTCTGAAAGGATATATATGGCTCGCGGACGTTATGGCGAGCGCCCATGCTCTTCACGGCCTGCACCATGTTGGTGTGGGGCCAGTTCCCCCAGCGGGTGTTTTCGTCCTTCTCGTAGCCCATGGTCACCTCGATGCTAGGCAGCACGCGGCAGGCCAGGACCGAAGCCATGCTGGCCAGTCTGAAACAACAGCACACAAAACGTTTTTATTTAATCAAGATAATGAGGAAAGACTGATCGGGTTGTGTCAAGCTAAGTGGAAGGGCCTACTTATAAAATGTATATTACTGCTGGCTTGATTTTCAGCTTTATTTCAGTTTTTCTTGATTGCTAACACACTAAAATTATACATAAAGCACAATTATTTTAACTAACACTCAAAGAGCAAAACATCGGCTCAAATCTCCAAAACTCTAAACACGTTTTCAGCTTTTCACACAATTTGCAAATCAACATGGCACTTTTTGCAAACCACTGCACACGTTTCTCCACGTAAAACACAGGAATCTGACATAAAGTCACGTGTTAGCACATACATAACACTGGTATTCAAAATGCCTCACACATGGACCAATAATCAAGAAACACGTTCCACCTGACCAAACACCTGATAGCATAATTGTTGGCTCATCAATCAGGATGTTAGCACTATAAAAAGACCACAGGTGAGTACTTTCTTACAGCAACAATGGAAGCCAACATGGAAGCAAGAGCAAGAGGAAGAGGAAGAGCTGGGCTGAGAGTGAGAGGAGGAAGAAGAAGTGGGGTTAGAGTGAGAGGAGGAAGAATGAGAGGTAGAGGTAGAGCTGAAAACAGGTTACCAGTTTTTAGCTCTGCATAATTCATGATATATCAGTGCTTATATCTGTTTTGTGAAACGTATTTACTTCATTACTGTAATTGAATTGTTGGCATGTTGCATACTATAACTGTACACAAATCCGGCACAATTTACTGTGGTAGACTTAATTTTATCCAACACAGACACTGACCAACCACTATATCTTTGTTGTTTATCCGAAGGACTGAGAAAAAGGTGCAGGTGGAAAGCTAAGGATTTTCAATGAGGCACAGGTAGCAGCAGTTACAAACTGGGTTTTGGCAAACAATGCCATCACACTTAGAGAGATCCGAAGCATAGTAACTATGTGCTGAGATGCATGTTGCACAATGTTATTTTTGAATAAAATGTGATTTTTTTCAACAACTTATTTTCATTTCTTCATTTACTGTATTTCTGTATAAGCAAGCAATCTTTCTCTGCAGAAACCTCTATGTACAGAGCATAGCCCATAAAAGATGAAAGTGCTTTAGATTATGCTCAGCAGTGTGTAGTTGGGTGGTCAAACAATCTAGTATTATGAATGAAGTGTGTTATATTTGGTGCAAAAGTTTGCATTTGGTAAGTGTTTATGTCGTTTTGAGTGCAGTTCTTCATTTAGCAGGAGAAATTAGGTGTTTTGCACTTTGGGTGTGTGGTTTTGTGTTTAGTGTTCTGAGAAACTGAGCAATTAAAAAAAAATGTGTGTTAGCAATCGAAAAAAACTGTATTATAATGTTCCTATTAATTAAACCACATTAATGGACAGACAGCCCCCTTTAGGAAAAAACATGAACAAATGACTATCAAAATCAGGGATAAGTCAACTCATTCAGTAAGAAGAGAAATAACTATTTATGTGTGTTCAATATTAACAGCTCTGATAAAACAGAATCATTGAGAGTTTGTATCTATCTGCATTAGCATGTAAATCACAGTAATAGTGGAACTACATTGCACAACAATGCACATGCTGAATTGTTGTTCTCAATAATTGTTGACTGTATTTTCATTCAAATAGAATTATCTATAAGAAGAATGGTTTAACTGCAATGGGAAAGAACAACACATGTATTAGCTGCTTCATCCTTTTCACCCTTCCTCTCTGCCACCCACTCAACTCTTATAAATACTTAAATCCTACATTTCCTATCACCTCAGACCTGCTGTCCTGCACGTGGGCACCAGGTGCCCGCTGACCTGACCCTGTCACCTGTCTGCTCCATAGACTGTATATAAAGGTCTGCCTCCTTCAGTGACCTGCTCATGACGCTGGTACTTCACATGTAGTAGCCAAAGGATCAGTCAAAGGTCAAATACAATTAATCATGTCCTGTTCGATTAAACGCTCAGGATTTGCCTGGACTGACTTCCTTCATGTTGAGCCTTCCTCTGTTTTTACGGCAGACATTCTTCCTACTGCTGTGTCAGTGAGAGCCAACATGGAGGCTTTCTTCAGAGGGTCTCTTCAGTGGTGCATCAACTGCTAACAAATAACGCACTTTCTTGTTTTTCACAGACGTAGACTGTAACATATTTTTATTTTCGTTACTTTATTTATTTCCTAACTTCACTTTATGTATTTAATGTTATGCAGATACTTTTATGTATAATATTTTTCAGACATACCATTTTGTAAAATAAGTTAGATTTTGGGATATTCACAGAAATATTATTGGCAGAATGTATTTATGTGCGATAAAGGTTAAATGTATTTTCCATGAAACACTTAAGACTATGAAAGTAAAATCAATTCAGATCATTCCAGCAGGTCTAATGAAAATAATAACTACTGACAGTAATAGCATATATTTGATACAAACGTAATAAATGCTCAACTTTTCGAAAATGTGTAAATTACAAGAGGCCCCTTTATTTCTATTTATTTATCTACATCTATAGACACTCCAGTATTTGTTGTCTGATCTTTGTCCTTTCTCCTATCTTGTGTGTTGACCTAGTTTATGCATCCAGTGTATGTGTGAATGTAATCTTCTATAATCTGATTTAAAGTGTGGTAAGAATCAGTGACACTTGATGTGTGAAGGTTAGTTTAAGTCTTGAAAAAGCCACAATGTCACATTGCTGCCCTGATGAATTAAACTATTGCTTGTTGAGTTACAAAGTATTGCCTGTTTAGTAATGATAGATTTAACCAACAGATACATACCCAATAGGCTTGCGAGAGCGGTGGAAGTCTTTCAGCACCTTATCCACATCACCTTGCAGCTTGCAGTCTTTTCCATCCTTCGCAAAAGTGGATCTAAACAGTTGACAATAATAATATAAGTGCTCATTCTTCATCGTGCCAGATTTGTACATTATCTCCCTCCCCATTTTACTTTATACAGTCACAAAAGAAATACTTCAAACTTGATTAATCCTCACAGATTCTTGATGATGCCGTGGCCTCCGGGAAAGATAACGGCATCAAAGCTGTTGACGTCCAGCTTGGACAGATCTTGCATTTGCATCATTCCCTGACCGTGACTGAAGCGAGCCGACTCCATCATCATGTTCCTATGTGAGGGCCAGAAATTATCATAATTACTACCTTATGGAATTAATCAAGCCAGGTGTATAAATATACAGCATTAAACAAGCCAATGTGAGAGTGTATAAGTGTCTCCTAACAGGCCTACCGGTTCTCCCCAGAGCCCGGCTGCTTCTTCATGTGGTCCATCACGTGCATCTGCTGCTGGTTCGGAGCAAACATCTGGAAGCGAGCACCGTTACGGCTCAGGTGGTACATGGTGCTGAAGACAGAGTTGTAAATTACAATCTGTACATTACGATGTATGTTCATGCAATGATTCGGAAGTACTACTTACTATACTCCCTCGTGGACATCAGTCCCATCCCACCAGCCACATCCTGAGAAAACCTGCGTTTCATTGTCATGCACACATCATAAACCAGCCCACATTTATCATTTGTATACTTTTTGTCACTAATCGATTTTCACTTACCACTGCAATATTGGTATTTCCCCAATTACCATGATCACCATGGTGGACAAAGCAGGCCGGCTGGCGAGCAACGACAGCCAGAGTTTGTTTTGACAGCAGAGTCCTGGATGCCTGCATGATTTTGCCTTAGTCTCACTGTTTCAGGAAGAAAGTGTAACTTAAGTTTGCCACAGAGCCTGTAGAGACGTCAATGGTAGTAATATTGTTCTCGCTGTGCCTGTATATATACCATCAGAGTGTTAGTAAGTGACGTTACAACGTAAGCTCTACTTTCTCAGAAGCTTCTTGGCCTTGAACAGCCCTGAACACCTTTTCCCTATTAATACCTTGTTATTTCATCTAATTAAATTAGGAGATTTGGCAAGCGACACTTCAGCTTTAGTCATTTTAAACATGTAGTGCTTTAACCCATGAAATATGTTGACCCATATAGTATGGCATTTAGATGGAGAAACTTGCGGAAATAATGCAACATGTTTTGAATGTAATATCATGTATTAGGCCAGTTGGCTAGTTATAATATTTAACAAATAGCTTGCATGGGGATTTTTGAAAATGCTTGTTTTTTGTTATTATAAAAAGGTAGCAGTAGGTTCAATGTCTTTGTATCGCACAAGGCCTAGTGTTGCCCTTTAAAGTCTATTAGGTTGTAAGGCTCTTACTCTTTAATGCCATGTCGCGTCTAGACAGGAAACCTGAAAATACCCTGGTCAGACGGAAATGTCAAAGTCGATATACGGTTGATTTTAAACTATTAATCCTTACTCTAGGCTGCCTTTGGTGGAAGACTTTTAATCAGTGAACGACAAGGTTCATTGTAAAGATTGCAAGCATGAGGCAACATATGGCATTATATTTTATTATGACCACTTTTTATGTAGAAACAATCAATATGTACATACTGGGGATGAAAAGTGTATGAGAATTTGAAGAACGAAATGCAGAAATGGAGTAAACAGAACAATATACAACCAACTAGTCACCACATCAATCACGTTTTAAGCCTCAGTCAGCACCCTTTGTGAAGTGTTCTCATAATCATTGTGCCTGTAGGGTTTAAAATGTGCACGAGATAACTCTTGCATAAAAAGAAACCACATACTGAAACGGTCACATCACAAAGAAGAAATCGTATTTCTTTTTTAAATCAAATACAAGAAACAACCAACATATGAGATGAGGTTCCTGTTACTAAAGGTCTCTCATTCTGAAACAAACAGACATGTTTCTCCATTTCTCTGTGGCTGCTAGCTTTCAAAACACAACACTTGCCATTATCCTTTTAAAAAACACCACAAAGACAGGCCTCACATTTTTAGACAATTATCTTGTGTTATTTCAAGTAAAGCTGTGACTAAATAAGACTAAACCAGTGACATCAGGTGCCTACAAAGCAGAAGAATGAAAAAGAAGACGGCACAGAAAAAGAAATAATAAATAAGGTCCATAATGATACTTTATATGAAAGACATGTCTAAAACAATCTCAGTGTATTTCCGCATTTTTTATGTATCAGAAAAATAAAATCATATACACGGCAAGCTTATCGAAAATTAAAACAAAATGATGCTTAACAAAGCTTGATCCAACCAATCGGCCGACAGCCCGGCCTCAATAATTGGTACTGATCAGGCTGGGGCTGTTTCATCAATTACTTAGAATGAGCCATGTTGAGCCCTCCTTGCACTTTTAGTTTCCTTTACATGTAAGAACCAAATCCTAAAAGCCATTTACATGCAAATCACTAACAACTTCAGTGGTGAGACATCATCATCATTATCATCATCATCATCTAAACGTCTGCCACCACTACAGAAAGCTTTCATGCACCCAAGCTGTCAGTCAATAGTGTGTGCACTAACTGTGCACACTGTGTTCATTATGGAGAGTATTTGCGAAGATATCCTTTTGATAAAGAGTGGGATTTGCTCATCAAGCCAATAGCCGTGCTGAGAGAGAAGCAAGTGTTAACAAGGCCAGTCTGGCGGCATTAGGGCGTGTAGGCAGGCGGTGGCTGAAACTGATTGGCAATGTCATAATCAGCAGGAAAAGTTTCACTGCTATCCTCCATCTCCGAGAGCAGCTCTAAAGCCTGCTCCTCTTCCTCGGTGGGGTAGTGGCGCAGTAGGTTGGCAGCTGTGGCGAGGATAGAGGCTCCACCTGCCCCTGCCACCAGGTAGAAGCTGATGGCAAACGTGACGTATATGAGTGAGCCGTGGTACTTTTTGTGTTGCTGCTGTAGTGACAAGATGAGCTCCGAGGCCCAGTAGCAGAAGCCTATGACGGTGGCACACTGCAACACTGATGAGAGACAAAGAAAACAGATAAGAAACCAACAATGACCATTTTTATGCCTTTTCTTTAAAACAAAAATGACAAAAGCCTCAGTATGACAGATGAATACCTGTGAGAATATGTGCAAATGCATATCTTCGTGTGATCTTCAGGGCGGGGTGCTTGGGTCCAAACACGTCCAAGAGGAAAGCAGTCAGGCTGCACAAGATGCCCAGGAAACAGAAGGCGGCGATCACCCTCATCAGCAGGATGGTCTGCGGGTTCACACAGTAATCTGGAGGACAAAGAGACATCACAAAGCATTTAAAAGATGTCTACAGATGAGTCTCTGCCAGAGGTGTAATGCACTTGTTCTTGTCCTCACCGTCCAGCAGCTTGGGGTCAATGTACCCCAGGACGTCCGCCACCCCCAGCTCTTGTCTCTGACAAGTGCCCCCGTGGACCCGGAGCCAGGCCGGCTCCGCCAGAGCCGTACACAGCGCGGTGATGGACAGAGCTCCGGGCAGAGCCGACACCAGGCTCCGCTCCGGCTGCTTGGGCAGGGAGGAGCCCCCTCTTCTCCTCCGGCCTCCAGGAACAGCTGAACCCGGTGGGGCATACATGCTCATCCGATCTCCTTACTGTAGTGTCTGATTCCCTTTTATTGACAGAAAAAGCGACTGTACTACTCGACCCGTTGGTACGGTTACCCAATTGACTGGCCAAAATAACAACTGTTAGCCGGTACAGCTAACGTTACCTGGGCGACGAACGGATGACAGCGGCCTTTGCGCTATGTCCACTGTGGTATTTAATGTTTCCAAACGACGTTTTACCTTAAAACTATCTGCTTGATATAAAGAGGAGATGTATTTCAGTGACGGGCAAACAATGGACAGAGGCCTTCAGGCCTGTTAGCTATGTTGTTAGCCTGTGAAGCTAGCTCACAGCTAACCTAAATGTCGACAACTGTCATTAAAAAATCAACTTAATAGAAACAAATCAGGTGAACGATAACGTATTAATGAATCTAGCAGACTGCTCTGGAGAAAATGACGATCAGTTTGATACAGAAAACAAAGACAAAACAAAACAAAAGGAAGCTTACGCTGGCTTCCTGTAAAATATTAACTTCCGTGTTCAACACATTCTTCTTCGTGGCTTCAATGGGCTGCAGTCTAAACGCGAAAGTGGATCAATGCTTCCACCTACAGGCGACACAGATCACACACAATTATTTATGTTTTCATATTAAAGGTGGGGTAGGTAATTTTGGAGAAACCATAGATATATATCTATGGGAGAAACCAGCTCGAGTGCGCGAGAATTTAAAAATACACAACCGGAAAACATCTGCCACTTCCTTACAGAGCCCCTCCTCCAACTCACACAAACGCGCACATGACCAATGAGCTTTATATATACAGTCTATCTATGCCAATGAGGTCACATACATTTGTGCACAGATGGAACGCTGACAGGCAGGTAGGCCATCCAGTTATTTTAGCCGGCCCGGCTAAAATGATTGGTCGTGATTTTTACAGCACTACGGCTTCCACAGATGACATTTTTTTATGTATTTATTGTCAAAGCATTTAATATATTCATTGCTATCGGGATGTTAAGAGCATTCCATGGAATATAACAAAAAGTGTTTCTGAAATAAATTACATACCCCACCTTTAATTGAGCTCTTATATTGATGGGAACTTGGGGGTCTATAAACATGCACAGAGGGCAGGACGTTGGGGTAGATCAATTAGGGCCAAGCAGTACACGTTTGACCTTGGGCATCAACAGGTTAATGTAGGCCTAACCGTGAATGTAAGGGCAAAACAAACTCACTCAGAGCTCCTTTTTTGTAAGAAATTGAAGCAAAGTAGACTTTTTTGTATTAATGACCTATTCTATCTAGAAAATTGTACTCCATCAGATTATCATAGCAGTCATATCACCTCCAGGTGATCATTGAGGTGGAGGTGATCATGGGCCTCAATGAGAGAGCAGAGGAATACCTGGAGTGGATTTGCCCTTTAATTACTTCTATATCCACAGACCTGATGGCGCTCCTTGAAGAGAGCCATGCTGTTATGGAATGGAACAAATAGATTTTGGTCTGGATGCTCTTTTTTTATTCATGATTGTTAATGCAAAACATCATGGTCTTGTCTAAAAGGCAAATATTTAATAATGATTATGTTTGCAATCTGTTGTACTTTACATCAGTCTGTAATGTATATCTTACAGTGGGCTTTGTTATATCATCCAAGCATATATTTAATAAAAATCAACATTTTCTTTAATTGCCTGCTTTTATGTTTTGTGTGTCACGTGTATGATTTTTATTTTATTTTGGAGAATTTAAGAAAACATTAAAGTAAGTAAAATGTCTACATCAGTTTGTAAAAAAAATATATATATTTTAGAAAACTAGATGCATCTAAACCATCTTTGATAACATATTAGTGCATCAATAATTATAATAAAAACATACAATATATATTATTCTGGAATCGGCATATCTGCATACTGAGTACTTTCTAACTTTTGGTACTTTAAGCATTTGTTGATGCTTGTACTTTTGTACTTTTACTTGGATAACATTTTGAATGCAGGACTTTTACTTGTAACAGAGTATTTCTACACTACGGTACTTCTACCTTTATTCTAGTACAATATCTGAGTACGTCTACCTACCACCTCTGCTTGGTTGTGTGATATTAAAATAAGTGCACTGCAAAAAAAAAGAAAAGCCCCACAATGCATCGCGTAAAGCACCGGATGAGCAAAGATGGCGGCATTTCCGACATCGTTGTTTTTGTGAACTGTCGAACTTTGTTCTTTTCTGCAAATACAGTATTTTAAAGAAAATCCTCTTCAGGTTTATATGTGTTATTTAAGACAGCCACATCGCTAGTTTGTGTGGGCTGTTACAGTGCGTGGTGTCGTCTGTGTATCTGTCCGCTGCTGTCAGTGAACAGCGGGTCGGATATCTAAAGTACCCAGAAAGCGTCCCTCAGCCCGGTCATGAAGCCGTCTCTGACTCCGGTCCAGAAGCTGGTCGCCCACCCGGACTCCCGCTGCTGGTTCGTCAGCTGGAACCCGACCGGGACCCTGCTGGCCTCCTGCGGGGGGGACAAGGCCATCCGGATCTGGGGACTGGAGGGTGAGATCTCGTATAAGCCTGAATGATTTTTTCATTACATTTAAGATAAGATATACTTTATTGATCCCAAATTGGGACATTCTTTCGTCTCAGCAGCATGATAAAATAAGGCATTACACATCATGTGAAAATGAAAAAGAGTAGAACATAAACATTAATATAAACATCTCAAGAACTAAAAAGATAAAAATCTGTATGCTATCTCACTAATAAACACTAAGAAGGGGCGATGCTTTCATACTGAATACACAAATAATGACATTACAATAAATAAAACGAGGTACAGTTTGACAGGATATACTGTTTACTTGTATCCCTACAGAAACCAATTGCTGACAACAATTTTAGAAAGTAGTTTATATGATTTACTTATAGCTGATATGAATAGGAGGAAATATAAACCTGTGTTTTGGATACATATTCTATTTGAATTTGTATCACCTTTTGTATTTTGTATTTATTTATCTTCTCTTATTCTTCTTTTAGTTTGTATGTGTGCCCCTGGTGTGAATAGTTTTATACTGTGGGTGACATATTTAATTATAAAAGGTATGAGTTGATTTTTTATGGCTGACCCCCTTCCTGACCTTCTCTCTGTGTAGGAGACTCTTGGGTTTGTAAGACTGTGCTTCAGGACGGACACCAGCGCACAGTGAGGAAGGTGGCCTGGTCTCCCTGTGGGAAGTATCTGGCCTCTGCCAGCTTTGATGCAACCACATGCATCTGGAAAAAGAAGAACGATGACTTTGAGGTTAGATGAGATCTTTAATTTTCACTTTGATTGTGCTTTACATTTTGTTGATTTAACTCAGAGTTTCATACATTCTTCTAGAGTTTGACAGTGTTGGAGGGACATGAAAACGAGGTGAAGTGTGTGGCGTGGGCCCCTTCAGGGAACCTGCTGGCAACATGTAGCCGAGACAAGAGCGTCTGGGTGTGGGAAGGTTTGTGTTCACACCTCAGATGTATTATTTCATCTAATTCATAGCACAAAATCAACAAACCTCCGGATCCGTGCCTGTCTATGTGTTTATGATCTCTTTTCCTTTGTGTTTCACAGTGGATGAAGAAGACGAGTATGAGTGTGTAACTGTTGTGAACTCTCACACACAAGATGTCAAGCATATCGTGTGGCATCCAAACCAGGAGGTAGGTCACCCTCTGCTGTATGCACTGCAGCTGCCTGATAAAAGAAAAAACATGAAACGACAATATATAATGTTTACTGAATTAAAAAATATTTAAGGAGTTTATTTCTAATATTATTTAATTGAACATATTGAACATTGAACTTAAAACAAAAGGCCCCAATACAAAAACAATTTATTTTTAAAGTGTGATTTCCTACTCAAGCAACTAACTCAAAAAAGTCTCAAGAGTGCATTATCGAAGTGTAATGATGATACAAAAATATATTTATTTTGTTTTACTGTCTTAATGTGTTGCTCCATTATCAAATGATTTGCCATGTGTTCGTACAGCTCCTGGCTTCCGCTAGCTACGACAACAACATTTGTATTTACAAGGAGGAGGACGATGACTGGGAGTGTAAGGCCACGCTGCAGGGACACACCTCCACAGTCTGGAGTTTGGCGTTCGATCCGTCTGGAGAGCGGCTCGCCTCCTGCAGCGACGACCGCACCGTCAAGATTTGGAAAGAGTCTCCAAACCAAAGTGAACAGGGTGGGTTGATAGTGATAGTTAGCATTATGCTTGTTTAAAATCCCATTAACAATATGTTTTAAACTAGTCAGTCAACCATTGAACTAGATATCATTTTATGTTGAATATTGATGAGAGTTTTGTGAGTGAAAAAGCTCACATAATCCCATAATTTACCATGCGATTTAATTATTCATACAACATGGCATCTTTTAGCTCTTTTTGACAACCCAATCAAATTTCAGACCGGTCCAAAGTTAAACATGTGTGTTGTGAGTTTCGACATGAACAGAGGTCTTTTTATCTCCTCCACACTAGATATTTTTTGTCAACTGTGTTATTTGTGATGGATAATTTGGTTTATCATTTTTTGCACTTCTTTGTCAAAGTAAATGACATGTCTTTTGATACGTTAACATTTGCTAGTTTTTTATGTAACATATTTTCCCCCTGCTCTGCATGTTGAACAGGAGACATGTCGTGGAAGTGTGTTTGCACTCTGTCTGGGTTCCACGGACGAACAGTGTACGATATCTCCTGGTAAGACCTGTTTCTATTTTATCACATTGGTCTAACAATGCCTCTCTTTCTCTGCCATGTCGTGGAAAACTATATATTTAGGGGGGGGGGGGTAAATAAATTATTTTAATTTTCCGCACTAGCGGGAATATCTCCGCAATGGAGCGAGCTTAAGTTTAACTTTCGATTGCATGATATAGCCCAGCGCAACACCTTTGTCACACATGTTGCCACTTGTTTCTAGAAAAACGATGTGTTTTTTAGGATATCAAACAATGGATGTATTTTATGAACATTTATCCATGCTGAAAGTAGATTTAGGAGTGAGATAGAGATTATAATATATGCATCCAATGAAGCATTGCATGAAGTCTGTTGATGATCAGAGGCTGTTGTTGGGGCTGCATAAACGTTTTTTTATTTTGTTTTGTAGGCAGGCCAGCCCGATTGTCACCAAGGTTCATGTTTTAATAGCATTTTTACAAAAAAAGCCCAGACGAGCCTAACATGTGAAAAAATGGCTTAGACCTCAGAGAGTTAAACTTGGGCCTGCGACCATAGTTTTACTGTATTTTGTTTTGAAAATCCACAGCTGAGGTTTGTGTCGTACTGCATGCAGTGTATTTTGCATACCTCTCAGTAGCCAACGATCTGTGAGTCTGTTAGCTCGGACATAAACTCCGTAATAAATGTAGTCTACATTTCATAAGAGGTGTAAAACCTGCATTTTAAATCTTATTTGAACTAAATGCTTATATAATATGTATTTGTATTGTTGATTTAATGTGTGAACGAGGCGATGTAGAGAAGTTAAGC